AACTTACCCGATTGCTGCTGCAGTTGCTCCTCCGTCTCCTTTGATCCCCTTTAGCGGCCGCCTTTGGAGGACTGTGGGGCACCTGGCTTTTCGCGTATTCCCAGAAATCCGCAATGCTGGTGCAACGGAATCGGGGGAATCGGGAATCGAGGAATCGGAATCGGCGTACGTGACCGAGAAAAGGTGCACGTTCACAATGGACGCAGACGCAGTTTATTTACACTAGATTAGCTGCGCGATGCACATGTCTGGGTGCGTTGTTGTTGTTACGTTACTATTGCCAGCGATTTTCGTATCTTGCAGATGGTTAAATTAGCAAAACAACTCCTTTGCCGCTTCACCACGGCAATAGTTTTTAGTTTTTGTATATTTTTGGCAGCGTTTCACTCGCCATTCTTATAAGATGGCTGCTTATCAGACGCTTCGACACTCGAATTGGAACATTTACACTGACTGACGCGTGACCGTCACTGTGCCACTGGGGGAGAATAATTGTGTCCTTCCCCGATATCTGTTTACTGGCCGTGTGCACTTGACGTTTCACATAGGGACAACACAAATTACTCTAGTTTCTGTATTTATTCTTTGCAAAAATCTTGCCATGCAAAAAAAAACAGTGATGGCAAGTGTGACCAGATTTAAGCTGTGACCAATTCTAGATTCCAATGCATGTGTATCGAAATCCCGACAGTGTTGCCAAGCTAAATGGCTGAATTTATGATAAAAATAGCCAAATAGCTATAAAATAATAATTTTATTTTATTAAATTTTTTAAGTTTTAAAATAAATATTTTTAATTAATGTAGATTAAGAATTTTCTTACTTAATTCAATTCAAATAAGCTCTTTATAGTCAAAACTGTAATTAAAATTAACTCGTTAATATCGGTAAAAGCTAAATTGGATTTAAAGATTTAGAAAACGTTTCAGAAATATCGTAATGAGGTGATACAGAATCTGTATTACAGATTTTAACATCATTAATCTGCCTTCCTTTCAATTTTAATTAAAATTTAGGAGTCCCCCAAAAGTCGTAATTAAGTTTATAATAAAATCATTAGATTTATAAATATTCAAAATATTTAATTTGCTTTAAAATAATAAACATTTATTGGCCTCATATAAGAAATGAAAATCAAATTTAAAACACTTTAAATTAAAAATAATTATGTAAACATACGTTGGCAACCCTGCCCCCAAACTGCACACGTTTTCATCTGTTTTTTCTGCGACTCCAGTCCAACTGCATGTGAGTAATGTACACCATCCATTTCATCACTTGACTTACGCTTGAGCCATCCAGATTTATCCCTGAGAACACCTGAAAAATGCCCGAGGCTGAACAGCAGAACGATGCCAGTGCTCCAGCCGGAGCCGCCGGTGAGCCTCCCAAGACGGCAAAGCAACTGGAGAAGGAGCGTCTAAAGGCCGAGAAGCTGGCCAAGCTTCAGGCGAAGTTGGACAAGAAGGCGGCGGCTGCTCCAGCGGCGGGTGACAAGAAGGAGAAGCCCGAGGTGAGTCCAAAATGTGCCCCGCAACGAGGTTATGTGGCCCTCTCACTTGGCAGTAATTGCTGCCCATTGTTGCTGGTGAAAGCTAAGGCCTTTCTCCGATTCTCCACCCTTTGCAGAAGCGCACCAAGGAGGTGAAAGAGGCTGCCGTCTACACGGCCCAAACGGCGCCCGGGGAGAAGAAGGATCTGAGTGGCCCCCTGCCGGATGCCTACAGTCCGCGGTATGTGGAGGCCCAGTGGTACAGCTGGTGGGAGAAGGAGGGCTTCTTCACGCCCGAATACGGAGTGAGTCTAGTTAGTTCTTAACCATGATCTTTAATCTAATCCCTGCTCATCCTACAGCGTGCCTCTATTGACGCCCCCAATCCCAATGGAAAGTTTGTGATGATCATTCCGCCGCCCAATGTGACGGGATCCCTGCACTTGGGCCACGCCCTGACCAACTCCATCGAGGACGCCATCACGCGCTACCACCGCATGAAGGGACGCACAACGCTGTGGGTGCCTGGCTGTGATCACGCTGGCATCGCCACGCAGGTGGTGGTGGAGAAGCTGCTGTGGCGCGACGAAAAGCTCTCGCGGCACGACCTCGGACGCGAAAAGTTCATCGAGCGCATCTGGGACTGGCGCCGCGAGAAGGGAGGACGCATCTATGATCAGCTGCGGAGCCTGGGCTCCTCCTACGACTGGTCGCGCGTGGCCTTCACCATGGATCCCAAGTTGTGTCGCGCCGTGACCGAGGCTTTCGTCCGCTTGCACGAGGAGGGCAGCATCTACCGCAGCTCCCGGCTGGTCAACTGGTCGTGCACTCTGCGATCGGCCATTTCGGACATCGAGGTGGACAAGGTCGAGATCCCCGGACGCACTTTCCTGTCGATTCCCGGTTACGAGGAAAAGGTGGAGTTCGGTGTGCTGATCAAGTTCGCCTACAAGGTGGAGGGCAGTGACGAGGAGATTATTGTGGCCACCACCCGTATTGAGACGATGCTGGGCGATACCGCAGTGGCTGTGCATCCACAGGACGAGCGGTACAAGCACCTGCATGGCAAGTTCGTAGTCCATCCGTTCTCCACGCGCCGCCTGCCGATCGTGTGCGACGAATTTGTGGACATTGCCTTCGGAACGGGTGCCGTCAAGATCACCCCGGCCCACGATCCCAACGACTACGAGGTGGGCAAGCGGTGCAACCTGCCCTTCATAACCATCTTCAACGACGACGGCTTCATTATCGGCGACTATGGCGAGTTCACAGGCATGAAGCGATTCGATTGCCGCAAGAAGATCCTCGAAAAGCTAAAGGAATTGAATCTTTACCGCGAAACTTTGCCCAATCCGATGGTGGTGCCCATCTGTAGCCGCTCCAAGGATGTCGTGGAGCCGCTCATAAAGCCCCAGTGGTATGTTAGCTGCTCGGACATGGCCGCCTCAGCCACAGAAGCTGTGCGCTCCGGCGAGCTGAAGATCATCCCGGAGCACCACACCAAGACCTGGTATCACTGGATGGACGGCATCCGTGACTGGTGCGTGTCGAGGCAGCTGTGGTGGGGCCACCGGATTCCCGCTTACCATGTCAGCTTCAGCGACCCCGCAATCCAAACGGGATCGGTAAGTTAGTTAGCTCTGGGATCGAACTTTATTTGTGATCTATAAAATGTTTGCTTTCTCAGTCTGCACATGGAAATGTGGTGCGTAAAGAGTTAAGCTTTATTGATTTATATTCTAGAAATTAAGATAGATTATTGAATTTACTAAAAGGTTTTACTTCCCCTTTTAGACCGATGATGAGCAGTACTGGATCGTGGCGCGCAGCGAGGAAGAGGCTCTGAGCAAGGCAGCCGAACGATTCGGCGTGGACGCCAGCAAGATCGTACTCAAGCAGGACGAGGATGTCCTGGACACGTGGTTCAGTTCGGGCATCTTTCCGTTCTCCGTCTTTGGCTGGCCAGACAAAACCAAGGATCTGGAGACCTTCTACCCCACATCTCTCTTGGAGACCGGGACATGATATTCTCTTCTTCTGGGTGGCGCGCATGGTATTCTTCGGCCAGAAGCTGCTGGGCAAGCTGCCCTTCAAGGAGGTCTATCTGCACCCCATGGTGAGGGATGCGCATGGTCGCAAAATGTCCAAGTCTCTGGGAAATGTGATCGACCCCATGGACGTGATTTGTGGCATTACGCTGGAGGGACTGAACGCCCAACTTGTGGGCTCTAATCTGGATCCCCGCGAGATCGAAAAGGCCAAGGCTGGACAAAAGCAGGACTACCCGCAGGGAATTCCCGAGTGCGGTTCGGATGCCTTGCGTTTCGCCTTGTGTGCCTACATCACGCAGGCGCGCGACATCAACCTGGACATTAACCGCGTCCAGGGATATCGCTTCTTCTGCAACAAGCTGTGGAACGCCACCAAGTTCGCCCTGCTATACTTCACCGGCTCCGAGAAGTTCGACACGGAACTCGGTGCTTCGGAGGCGATCAACCAGATGGACGCCTGGATCCTGTCGCGATTGGCTTCGGCCATCGAGGCATGCAACACCGGCTTCGAGTCCTATGACTTTGCAGCTGCCACCAGCGCCTGCTACGCATTCTGGCTCTACGACCTGTGCGACGTGTACTTGGAGTGCCTGAAGCCGATCTTCCAGAGCGGCAGCCAGGAGCAGCAGGCCGCCGCCAGGCGCACCCTATACGTTTGCCTGGACTTTGGCCTCAGGCTGCTCTCTCCATTTATGCCTTTCATCACGGAGGAACTTTACCAGCGGCTACCGAGGGCAAAGCCCGCGCCCAGCATTTGTGTGGCCAGCTATCCCAGTAAGATCTTTTTATTATCTTTTAAATGAAATATAAACTTATTATTTCTTTCCTTATCCCAGGCAACATATCTTGGCGCAGCACGAAAATAGAGTCGGATGTGGAATTCGTACAAAAGGCTGCGAGGATTATCCGCTCCGCCCGTTCCGACTACAATCTGCCCAACAAGGTTAAGACGGAGGTGTACATTGTGTGCACGGATGCGGTGCCCAGTGAAATACTCAAACGCTACGCCAGCGATCTGGCAACCATCTCCTACTGCTCCAAGGTGGTTTTCGACAGCCCAGCGCCGGCGGGCTGCGCCATTCTGACCGTGACTGGGCAGTGCGAAGTGCATCTGCTGCTCAAGGGACTCGTGGAGGCGGACAAGGAGATTGCCAAGCTGCAGAAGAAGAGCGACCAGCTGGTGCAGACGGTGGGTAAGCTGACCCAGGCCATCCAGGCCGCCGACTATGCCACCAAGGTGCCAGCCGAGGTGCGGGAAGCCAATGAGACGAAGCTCTCCGAATCGAGGTCAGAGATCGAACGCATCGCTGCCGCCATTGAGACGCTGAAATTGATGTGAACAGGGAATGGTATCCTGCCAGTCGGGAACTCAGATAATTGATATTTAAGCGCACTTGCCTTGCTAGCTAATGGGCTTTACTTAAAAATATACCTATGCGCTTTACAAAAACATTTTATGCATTTCGAACAGAGTAGACAAATCGATTGATCTTTTATTTATTACGTACCACACATGAAATTTTCCCCAATACAAATAAATAGAAAAATAACATTTGCTAAAGGATTTGGTTTTAATTACCAGGTTAATCGAGTGGCATGATCCGTCTTGCGCTTCGACATCTTTATGTAACCCAGAAACTGCATTTCGGCAACGGCTCGTGTGAAGCGGGCTCTAATTGAATGGAGAAAACCAAAATAAGATTAAAAAATACTACAAAATGGAAAGGAATATAGAACTCACTGAATCTGAGGATCGATTTGCTCCTGGGCCGCTTCCGCATCATTGTCGCTGCCACTCACAACCGATCTAAAGGCCTGCAGCCAATCGAAGAGATTTATCATGCGCCCGCACTCCAAATGCAGCTTGTATACCACGGAGAGATCGGGCAGGGTGCCGACCAGCTGCGACTGATCTTGGAGCTCGCAGCACTTGCACTGCATGTAAAAGTGAGGATTGTTGAGGGCAGTGTGCAGTGCCGCTCGAGGAGCTCCGATTATGTTTCGTCGCACGGTGGCTATGTCGCTGAACACGAACAGTTCGTGGATGGGTGGCGCCTCCTGCAGCGGACGCAGATGATCCTGGACGAATTGTGTCTCAATGAGCCGCAGGGTTTTCTGCAAGGCCCTTGCGAACTGAGTGGTGGGAGTATTCTGTTGATTTCGGCTTTTGTCCTCCTTGCTGCGCTGTAAAAGCTGTTCCTTGAGTTCCTGTCGCGAGGCTACATGGGTGAGGTTATCTGTAGCTGGACGATGGTCCTCGTTGGGCGATGACTCAGTAGTCGTCGTCATGGTGGCCTTGACCACATCGTTCACCGACTGGCGGATAGTTTCTAGCTGCGGTTGCAGAACAGCAGTGCAGGCCTCGCCCAGTTCCAGCGGTGCAATCTCTTCGGCCAGAAACTGTTCGGTTCTCTCCAGACAGCGGTTAATCTTGGCCACAAATTCGTCCTTGGACAAGAAGCTTAGCATCTGCAGGCACTCCTTGTACTCCGGCATCGCGGCGAGCGGTCTGTTGAGGCAGTTGACATACAGCTCGCGACGCAGCTTTCCCAGAGGGCAGCGCGGCAGATCGCCCACCAGTTCCGTAAGGAACTCCAGCGAGCTGCGAAAAAGCAGGAAGTGGAGCAGGCAGTCGCGCAGCAGCTGCGGCAGCTTCTTCTTCAGGTAGTCGTCGTCGGTGAGCACGGCTATGATGCGCTTGCAATCGTTGATCTGCTCGACATACGGCCGAAACGAGGGCAGCCGTCGGATGGTCTCCATGTCCTCGTGGGTCAGCTGCTTGATGCGTCCCAGGGCTTTGCTGTAGTCCGTGCAAAGAGCAAACGCATTTCCACCAAAGTAGTGTTCCATCAGGCAGTACTTGAAGCCCTGAATGAATCCATGGATGGAGAAATCGTAATAGAGGAATATGTGGGTCAGGAACTTGAAGGTCTTGCCAGAGAGATGAAAGGCGTACTTCGGGGAAAGCAAAACTCTATCCAGCACCTAGAAGATGTTAAAAAGTGCATTAGAAATAACTCCATTCTATTCATAATTATACTCGTTACTCGTAGAGTAAAAATGTATATTGTATTCGTGCAAAAGTATGTAACAGCTAGAAGGAAGCGTTTCCGACCCCATAGCCATGTCCGTCTGTCTGTCTGTCTGTCCGTCCGTATGAACGCTGAGATCTCGGAAACTACAAAAGCTAGAGGGTTGAGATTTCCCACAAATATTCTTAGACTTCCTACGCAGCGCAAGTTTATTTCCGTCGAGCGCCACGCCCCCTCTAACGCCCATAATCGCCCACTAACGATTTAAAAATGTGTCTGGCGCCCACATCTTTTAAGATTTCCGAGAAGTATAAATGCAATTTTGTTGTGTATATTTATACCTATCGAAATGTAAAAGACATTTTTTAAATCGGACCATTCGTTAAAAAGTTATACGAAATCAAAAAATGTTATACATCCATCTCCCTCAGACTCCCTTTAGCTGAGTGACGGATATTAGATAGTCGGGACACCAACCCGACTATAGAGTTCTCTCTTGTTTTTTAAGAGAAATCAACAAACTTACCTCGTTTAAGCCCATGGGGGCAGCCTGAGTCTGGAAGACACGCAGGCGAATCTTGCTGCTGACGTGGTAGGGCAGAGTTCCGTGGACTGCCGTCATGGCCGTGGCCACTCCCAGGACCAGGACGAATGGCAGTGTCCCGCAGTGGGCGCTCAGTATGAGGATGAGATCCTGCAGCACGCTGGCGCCGAAGCACTCAAAGTCTGGCAAAATGACCACCAGCTGGCGACGCTTTCGCTCCGAATCGAAGTTGTTGGAGTACCAGGACTTTAGCTGCTTCATGGTGCATTGCGAGCGACGAAGACGCTTGCGATCCCGCTCCGCCACATCCTCATCCTGGTCCTCCTCGACATCCTCTACTTCGGCATCGTCCTCCACGAGCCCGAAGACCAGGGACTCCACGGCAGCCTTGAGGGTGGCGCAATCCCGCGACTGCAGGACACAGACCCTGGCAGCCCGCTGCGCATGGAGTCGCTGGGTGAGTGCCGTGAACTGGCTGAGGTGATCCGGCTGATTGATGCCCGTCAGCAGGGCGGCGGTGGGCAGGACCTCGTCCAGAGTGGTGCGCTGTCCCTGGCTCACCACAAACTCAACCAGCTGCTCCAGAGTGCGTGCATAGCTGCGCTGCTGCAGGTCGGCAATGTGATCGTTCACCTGGTTCCAGGCGCTGCGATATTCCGCGTAGAAGGGCTGCTGGACCACCTCCTGACCCAAGAGGCTGCTTGATCCTGGGACAGGACGCTTCCGCTTCCCAGCCGCCTTCTTGCCGGCTCTCGTGGCGCCATTTTTGTAGACAAAACATCCCTGTAAGCCAAACAATAGGAGGTGATTTGAAATTAATTTTAAAAACAATGCCACCCACCTTGGACACGGAAATGGTGGGATCCATCGCTGGCTTTCTACTGAACTGACTGCGCCTCGTTGCCGCAGATTCTAAGAGTCGCCGTGTCGAGTTTATTTATTTGTTTAGGTCAGCTCTGTGCCAGTTAGAGTTTCTTCACCGGTAGGAACGCGAAACGAAATCAGCTGACAACTGTGTTTGGCGCCAACAGCTGTCTATCGTCTATCGATGGCTATCAGCGAGGTGGGCACGAATCACCCTGTATTTCTGTTTTGTTCAAGTTTTTTGGCGCAAATTTAAACTGATTTCAATTAAAAGTTACAAAATTCTCCGAACTATTCTCTAAGAAGTCTGCAAAAGTAATATTAACTATTGTGTAAAGGTTTTATTTTTAAATTGTTTTATTTTCCAAGCGGAATTTCATAATTTTTTCTATTTAAACGTGGTCTAATGTAAATGTAAAAAGATGTTTTCTTTCCACTCTTATTTAAACAACCGATTGTGACGTTAATGACAGTAAACAGCTGGAGGTGTTGCATATGTGTCTTGGAATCCTCCAAAACCAGGAGACGACGCAACTATGTACCACCTTGGACAGGATCTGATTTCTGCCGACGATGTAAAGCCGCGAGAGCACTACGAGAAAAAGAAAGAATGTGACGGTGCGCGCCAAGAAACGCATCCAAATCCGGTCAGAAACTGAGGAGGACAAGCCAAAGCCCACGATCCACTAGAGATCCAACCAGAAAGTCTTTGTAAAGACCTGGGTCTGTTAGGTGGTGTATTCTTCAGTGGTGGTTTCCAAGTCAAGATCTTTAAAAAGGAGGTATAAGGATAAGTATATGTATATAGGGTATTCGCTAAAATGTTGAATTGCCGAATAGGTTTGAACAAAAAAAGAACTATATCAGCTTTCTTTAAAAAGTTTTAGCCACCTTAAGCATCAGTATATCGAAAATTTAACTTCTTGAAATGAAAGCTGAAAGGTTTTTAAAAATACGTACCCGGCGTCCAGCTCCATGTATACGTATTCCACCAAAGAATGGGATGAGGCGTAGTTGTAGTTGTTTCTTTAAACAGTGCCAAGTTGTTCTTCCTTTCGCGATCACAAAAATCCGACCATTTTGGCGCCATTTGAAAGGAGAAAAGGAAGAGAAGCAGGAAATCGAGAAATAAAATGATGGCTGCCAGGAAATAGTCCTTCGTGCGCATCTCAGCAAACCTTCCACCGTTGATAATCTGCGCGTGATACATGACAAACTGTGAAGATATACATTTTTGAGGGATCGCTATTTGTCGCTATATTAAGTGGTTTTGTACCAACCATCAAGATGCTGATGACGATGAAGCACCTAGCAACTATAAAAGAATATGGGACATTGGCCACGATATAAAGCATCACAAAGTATATAGCACCAATAATGGAAACCACAGCGAGGACAAATAGCACAACGACATTCAAGGTCAGATCAAGCTAAAGGAGATAACAACAAAAGCCGACTCAACTTAAAGGATAACTTTCGAATTCTTTCAGTTTTGAACAACACTTTTAGGGACGTATTCTTGTCCGCATATTAAATTTAAAGTTTGAATACCAAAACTTTTTCAAGGTTGTTTTTTTTAATTTTACATGTTGAGAAAACGGGTCTTGAAATATCAGATTTTTAAAGAAAATATGCTTACCGGTAGACAGGAACCGCACACAATGAAAAGAGCCAAAGCCAGGGTCCATAGAAGGAACGCGAAAAGGAATTGATACTTATAATGGCGAACAACCAACGCTGCCATTCCGAGTACAATGCATTCGAACTGAAAATAACGAACGTCACTTTAAAAACATCTTAGAAATTAAGTTTTAAACTTACAATAAGCACAGCAAACAACCAGTTGAACATTTTATTAAAGCGCAATGCCTCAAAGAAAATGAAAATAACGAGGAGTATTAGGCCCAATCCAAAGAAAATACAGCTCACCCAATAGTATGCAATAAAAAATAATCGTAAGAAGCCTCTGAAAATCTATAATAGATCAGAAGACGACGAAATAAAGGACCTCGAATATACGTACACAAAGGAGAAAAGAACCCACTGTAACAGCGCCACGATCAAAAATATTGCGGTCAGAATGTAGGTGGTCAAGGCGAATTTCCGTCTTTCCCTTTTGTAATATTCACTTTTTTCCGGAATGTCTGCCATTGTTAGCTGTGTGCTGGTGTGTTTTTGTATTTTTATCTTGGGAGAAATTATAGTTTCTGTGACGAATAAAAAAAGAGTACTAAGGTATGAGCACTAGATTAGCTGCAAAATTAAACAGACAAAAAAGATTTCTTATATTTCTGAAATTTTCTGTGGAATTTTCAACAGTTGTGCGGTGGAATCGCACGTTTTTAAAATTAAAAAAAAAAAGTGGAATCAGGGTGTAACTCGCAATCGCTATGGGTAATCGATTTAAACGAATCGGCAACGAAAGATTCGCGCCAAAAACAACAGCTGATTGTGTTGTTAAAATTGGTTAATTTGTTTGGTACTAATCTGCAGCTATACAATTGTAGATATAGTTTTGTCATGCTTTACATTTTTAAAGAACTGTTATTCTTCATGAAAATACACTCCTGTACTTCTTTTAAACGAGTTTGAATTACTTATCGTCTTTTCTTAATCGATTATTCGCCTTGCGACCTATCGTCCCATAAGTTATTGCCTTTACGCATCGCTAATGGTTTTTCAACTGGTGGCTGGTGTTTATAAATTCATTTAATTTGCGGCAGATCAGTTTAACACTGAGGTAGGTATTTTTAACAACTATATATATATCGTTAGATTCAAATATCCGCTTAAAGGTTCGCCAACAAAGAGCGATGGCCAATGATAAAGAAATCGGAAGCGGGGACCTCGCTGAGGATGATGTTGATGCCACGAAATCCACCGAGGAACTGGTGCTTCCCGAGGCTCTGGAAGAATTGCTAGATCTGAAAGATCAGCGGCCGACCGAAGTCAAGGGCAAAGGATGGACAGAGCCGGACGAAAAGGATAGATCTCTGGATTTGGACATCTACGACGACTTGGACGAGATGAAGCCGCAAGGTTCTACAGAGACTGGCGAAAAGGACACATCTCTTGACTTGGACATCTACGACGATTTGGACGACTTCCAGGAGGCCGAGAACCATGTATGACCTACAGATATATCTATTCTGACGTTGTTCCATTACAGTATAAATTTTCTTGCAGAAAACCAAGGAGCTGCTGGCATGGGAGGCCAAATACGAAAAGGCGCAGACCGAAATCCAGGCTCTAAAGTCTGAGAATAAGGCGCTCGGGAAGAAGATAAAGACCATGGAGGTTACCCTGCAGAGTCTGCTGGACACGGCCAAGGCGGAGGTGAAGAGAAAGGAAGCCATGATTGCCCAGCTGCGAAAGGAGTTAGTAAGAATTTTCGCTTTTCGGACTCCCCAACTAACAAAGTAACATTATTCAACAGAAAAGACGACTTGTGCTTCCGGCGGAAGCGGGGGCGAGAGGTTGAAGAGCCAGGGGAAAGGGAACATGAGAGTAAGCGTCTGAAAGAATCCCAACCGAGGATGTTTGCCAAGAAGGATCCGGAAACGGAGAGAAATCCATTCAAGACAGTCCCAAAAGAGGATACCAAGAAGGCGACTTCAAAAGATGATGTCAAGAAGGCGAGCACAAAAGAAGAGGTTAAGAAAACAGACAGCCGAAGCAAGTCACCCAAGCTGGGACAGCCCAAAACCACCGAACGGAGATCTAGCACACACTCTCGACGTCCAGAGCACCGCCACAAATCCAGAGATCGACGCCACAGCCGCAGCCGAAGTCCCAAACATAGGTCCAGGCGGGATGAGCACCGCAGTCGCGAGAGCAATTCCCGCCAAGCTAGACCGCGAAGCCGTTCCCAGTCGCCCAGGTCAGTGAAACAAAAGGATATCAGTTACCTTTGTTGATAGCAGCATCTGAATTTTGTTGCAGAATCCATTTGCCAGGAGATAAGAGTCAGACCATGACGAGCCTATTTGGCGATGAATCGAATGACCCGCGCAGTGAGAGCCCTCGCCTTGAGTTGGCCAAAACGGCATCTGACTTGCAACCTTCAAAGAAAGTCGTTTCGAAGCAAAGCGATGTTTCTTCATATACGAAATCCTCATTCGATCCAAAGGAACAACCGAAGGATACTTCTCAACCCATAGGTGGTTTCTTTTCTGAAGTCAGTAAGCCGAAACTTGCATTTATCCCAGGATTGGACATCATATCCAAGGCGGAATCCCTGGATTTTGTGCCTGATCAAACAGAAGTGGTTGAAAAGGCGAAAAAGCTAGTCGAAAAAAGTGATTTTCATATGAAGGACTCTGCGCAGGATGAATTAAAGAATGAGCCCATTCCATTGGAAGCAGAAATGCCGCAAGCGGAAGTAAAAACTAAAAAAACTTCATCCAAACATTCTACAAAAGAAGTGCGAGCTGTGCCGAAACATGCAATTATACCCGGTTTAGACATCATATCCAAGGCGGAATCTCTAGATTTTGTGCCAGATCAAACCGAGTTTGTTGAAAAGGCGAAAAAGGTAGTCGAAAATAGTAATTTTTATACAAAGGACTCCACGTACGATGAATTAAAGAAGGCGCCAATTCCATTGGACTCAAAAATACCGCAAGTGGAAGGAAAAACTAAAAAGATTTCATCCAAACATTCTAGAAAAGAAGAGCGAGCTGTACCGGAATCCCTGGATTTTGTGCCAGATCAAACCGAAGTGGTTGAAAAGGCGAAAAAGCTAGTCGAAAAAAGTGATTTTCATATGAAGGACTCTGCGCACGATGAAATAAAGAAGGCGTCCATTCCATTGGAACTAGAAATGCCGCAGATGGAAGAAAAAACTAAAAAGATTTCAACCAAACATTCCACAAAAGAAGTGCGAGCTGTGCCGAAACATGCAATTTTACCAGGCTTAGACACCATATCCAAGGCGGAATCCCTGGATTTTGTGCCAGATCAAACTAAGGCGGTTACAAAGGCAAAAAAGCTAGTCGAAAAAAGTGATTTTCATATGAAGGACTCTGCGCACGATGAATTAAAGAAGGCGTCCAATCCATTGGATCCAGAAATGCCGCAAGTGGAAGGAAAAACTAAAAAGATTTTATCCAAACATTCCACAAAAGAAGTGCGAGCTTCAATAAGCGAACTTGAAGGTGGTAAGATAACAGAAGAGTCTAAGATTAACTTGGAAAAAATGACAAGTTTAGCAATTGAAGCTATAGACGTTATGACGGCCAAAATTGAAGAGAGAATAGACCAAGAATTATTACCAACAGCTGCCACAGTCCCTACTGAAACGGGCTCTCAGTGTAATGCGAATGCGAAAGCCTGTTCAGAGAAAGACATCCAAAAACCGACTGATGAACCAAGCCGCTTGAGCAAATCCGTCGCCGGTATACGAATCATCGAGGACATTCGGCTTCCCAAGATGGCCGATATCGACCATATTGCTGTTAAAGTTGACAGCCAGTGCAAGGCACCAACAGCGATAACGAATTCCGCCTCGAATGATCAGTTGGTTGACAAAATGCCTCGTCCTGACGAGCTAAAAGATACAAAATCTACTAGCTACGCGAACAATACTCCCATAAAGTCTGCCAATGTCTTGTACGCTAAGCCCGACTCGACGAAGCTGGACCACAACGATGAAAACGACGAGGTTATCCTGGAAGCTGCCATGGACTTGCTGACAAGCGAGCAGGATCCGACGAGCATCGTGGATCCCAGCTATCCAAACCTGAGTATCGAAGAAGATGCCATTGAGATGGCATTGGGTGAATTGCACCAGCAGTCACCAGACGAAACAGTGGTGACGTCAACATCGAATAGAGCCCAGCAGACGCCCAAACAAAGCCTAATAACGATTCTCACCCAGTCGCCCGTGCAGCAAAGTCCGCTAAAGTCCAAGACGAAATCGAAGAAACTATCACCGATGGCCACACCGGAGAAGGCGGCCACCGAGAAGACCCCGTTGAAGAAGAGAAAAGTCAACATGGACAGTCCGACGCAGGCAATGCCGGTTCCCAGGCTGGATTTAAGCATTGAGGACACTTCGGGAACGAGCTTGGGTGGTAGCGACACCTCAACAGTTACCAAACGCTGTTCGCTGGGCCACACTGATTACCAGTACGAGCAAATAAAAGACGAGGTTATTTTGAGAGTAAAGCGACGCTGTCGACGACGACGACCGGCACCTGTGGAAATGCAGGATAACCAAGCAATTTAAATACAATTGTAGTTGTTTTGAATTTTGAGTTTAGAATTTATTTCGAATACTTTTAATTTTGAAGCCAACAAGAAAACCAAATGTTTAAATTTTATTTAACCATGCCATTCAAGGCGACTTGGGTAAGGATAATCCGGTTAATCGGCTCGAGTCGAACCTCCGAGCATCTTGAACCATGAATATGCTACGAACCAGAAGTAGATCGCTACACCTGTGGGTTAAAAGTAAATAATAATGTTTGTAATAGTTAGTAATTAAGAATTAATATTATTAGCACTACTATGTTGGTATGTCAAGGACATACATACACTACTTTTAAGAAATATACATTTTAAACGAAACGTTGATACTATATTTCTATTTGTTTTTTGAATATTAGGTGTACTTGTTATAAATAGGTTAAAACTCTTACCGAAACCACCCAAGATAAGCAGCAAGGTCACTACTACAGCGCCAACTTCTACGCAAACATAAATCAAAAATACGAGGTCATATAATATGCGTACGGAACCAATTATTAAATACGCAATGACCAATTTCTTTAATTGCTGAAAAACATTAGGTGTAGCTTTTATAAATTATATTATATTATTATTAATTAAACTCACCACCCAAACTGAAAGAATAACCAAAACACAGGCGACTAAATGGGCAAAGTGGATAACAAAAGTGACCATCCAAGCATAGTAGGTGGAAGGGTAGTAGTTGCTTTCAAACTTCCCAATGTTATCTGGATCATTACGATCTTCAATCCACCAGCCTTGATAATAGGTCAAATCTGTTAAGTTTGGTATTATTATTAAGTTATATGTCAAATAATAAAAGTACCTACACTTAGTTTCTAAAACAACTGCAGCCGCCATAATCATGTCTATAATAGCGATAGTAAGGGCTCCCCATCTTAGATCACAGCAGCAGCACTTCTTAGCAGTACACTTCATTCTGTTTAAGCTTGTAATACATTTGCATCGTGGAAAGTACCTCTCCCAATTTTATATAGTTAACTTGACACAAAAATTTCAACGACAGATAGATTTACGACGATTCGATTTTGAAATAATTTTCAAATAAAGTAATAAAGTACTATAATGGATTTAGTCCACTGGGGTAGAACCTCCAAGATGCTTAAACCATGAGTAGATGACGTACCAGAAGAAAACCGCGAGAACTGAGAGTCACAATAAGTTCAATATTAACTTTTCAATAAAATGCCTGGTATTTTTAAAGATTATATATGGGAAAATAGATAAATGCTATTATCTTGTTTAATTGTTCTAGTTTATATTACGACCAATTAAGACTACAAATTTAATATTTCAAATTTCTGAACTTACAGAAGCCAGCAGCGATCGAAATTATATCCCTAAGAGAACCTCGAAAATATATGCATACATATATGAAAAGTATGATGTCAAAAACTATACGAAGTATTGCTGTTATTAGGTATACTATAGCAAGTCTTTTGTTTGGCTGCAAATCGCATCTGAAACCAATTTGCTAATCTTAAAGGCGTTTGCTACTTACTTTACAAATCGAAACAATAACCAAAATGCAGGCAATTATGTGGACAACGTGGACGATGACGGCAACATACCAAATAATATAGTGGCCGAGTAAGGACATCCCTGCATGATTCAATATTAGATAAGTTTTATCAAATAATATTAATACTCACATCTAGTGATGCCAATAACTGCTCCAAACAGAGTCCAGTCAGCACAATCAGCAGCACGACTTCATAGCAGGAATACCCATTATTCTCTGAACCAATTTGAACTCTTCCAGAAAATTGACAGATAATTTTATGAGCGCTTGACTAACCGTTTGATTTTGAACTTGAATTGATAATTTTAAAATATCCGATTTAGTTTGGGATCGGCCGGCTATAACGCGAAACTGTGGTTAACCAGGACCTTTAGAAAGAGGGGAAACATATTTATTAGGGACACCTATTTTTCCGATCCTTATCACAAGGCTTTAAAAAATGATAAAATACTTACACTGGCTATTCGGGAATCAGTCATCAAATTTTTTTTTTGCTTTCGAAAGAGTGCTAAATACTTTTAGTTTTAGAAGAAACCCGATTTATTCTGTGCTCGGCGGGGTAAACCACGAAAGAACTGTTAGCCAAAAGTAAGTGGCTGAAACTGTGGGGAAAGGGTACAATGTATTAATAAGTAGTAGTATTTAAGAATCCAGTAACCTCTTAAAATGTAAAGCGAAGTACTTACACAGACTTAGACCTATCAACCAAAAAGTTGTGGTACAATCAAATGCCTTGGTAACTATCCACGTCAAAATTATGAGCAATACAACGAAACGCATTATGCCAGTGGCTATATAGGGAGCAGCCATCCATCTTTCGTCCTAAAAATATTTATGACTAAGGAGAGAGTCTTTTAATCCTGCCTGGACTTACCGAAAGTGTGGAGGTAATGGCCATTACACAGGCGCCAATATGGAGGATAAGGACAACCAAACAGAATATATACATTGAATAGCCGAATCTATTAAAGTAAAAATCTGGGCCGGTATAAAACCTCGGGGGTTCCGTGGTTGACATAGGCGCTTCCGTAAGGATAGTAAAATCCCAGTCCCATTTGCGCCGTATCCCTTTCATAAATAAAACCGTTTTTATATAAGCGCTACAGCACAGTTTACCGTACTTACATGGCAAGTAGCATCCGCAAAGCAAACTTAAGATTATGTCCACGAACCCAACAATGACCACGCCATATTTTACATCAATGCAATACAAAAATTTGTCGACAAGACCCATTTTATGAAATTTTCAATTGTAGTTTGTTGACGTGATGTTAGTTGATTATGAAGTTAAAACAGAGTGATGTAGACATGTAGAAAAGTAGCATTGAAAGCTTTTCGAAAGGGCGCTTGGATTCAGTGGGAAAAATCATAGTTTGGGTGGCCTTCTAAATTTAATTTCTATAATTCGGTTACACTTATGGTATTTGTTTATTGAACTCTTTTAATCTAGTTTACCAAAATTATACTAAAATAACATTAACATGGCGTTTTCGACCCACATTAATTTAATTAATTAGGAGCTCCATATAAATGGTGGTTTTGGTTTTTTTAATTGCTCTCAGAAAATGTTAACAATTTAAATTGACCTACAAAGCAGACAATATTTTTTTAAGACAAAGGGTTTAATGTTGTGAAAGGTCTGTATGTTGGGACATCTTCTTCCCATAGTTATTTGGTCATTTGCTTATTATATAAGAAGTGATCTATAACGTTAGAATGCTTGTTCTTTTGAAACAAATATTCACTATTATTTTGCAAATGAAAAAAAGTAAAAAGTGAAAATCCAAATCAATCAAAGCGCTCAAACCGTTCGGGTACTAATTTTTTTATATTAAGATCAATTTTTATTAGTCGTCAACTGTGTGTGCACTTACTAAGTGGTTAAAAAAAAACTAACTGTTACAATACTCGTGTACCTTTATAAACTACAATTTAACTTTGGTCTATATTATAGAGGTTTAATAGACTCTATAAGAACTTTTTTTTTTACTTTTTAATCAAACGACCTTTCTATTATACACATATGTATGTACAACGTACATTTATTCTTAAACAGCATCAAAGGCCGAGTAGTTCTGACCAAGTTTCTTCAATATGGCACTTTTGGAAACCGTGATCTCTGGAACCAAGAAAAGGTTTCAAATCTGTAATGCTTACACATCTTAAACATGAACCACGAGTAATAAGTGTGTTTTAAGAAAAATTCCCTTTACGCCTTGGGCTAGGCAACATATGTATCTTGTGCCAGAAAAGTTTAATAGCAGGTATCTCAAAGGCCCTTCTTGCATCCTTTCTGGTCACATTTCAAAATGAACAGGGTAAAACTTTGCCTCCAAACTGACATGATAGGAATTGTGCATCTTTCTAGGTATTGACAGATATTTGAAAAACAAAATACAAATTGGGCCTAATCCTTTTTCGACTTCGACGCCGCCTCTTCGCCGAGTAGGATGCGTCGCACTGCGGGCAGCTTGAAGACCGGAATGGAGAGCACGGCGCCTGCGCATGCGCCAATCCAGTAGACGATGATGTGCTCCAGGTGGGTGTGTCCGCGACAGCCCCATTTGAGGGCTGTGGCCAGGACGGGATTGAAGTAGCCGCCGGAGAAGTTGAAGGCTGCAAGCAAGACATAGTTAAAGGCATAAACTACTTGGGAGACCAGCATTGGGCAGGCGGATCGGATCGGACAAGCGCTACGCCACTCACCTGCCACCACCAAGCTGGTGCCAATGAAGGAGTCGATGTAGCTCCCGAACCGCGGCTCCTTCTCGCTAATCGTCTTGGAGGCCAGGCGGCAGAGGAGGGTGGCCACGCCCTCGATAACCGCGCCCAAATACGGGCTGACCTGCAGATCGGCGTTGCAGGCCTCAAAGGCCCGTCCACGATGGGTCTCGGCCAGCTCCAGCCACCAGAAGAGCTGGACCACCCGGTACACACAGCAACCGCCCATCAGTTCGGCCCAACTGCGCAGGGCCATCTCCTTGAAGCTGGTCCGACCCTCAACCACGTCCTCCATGTGCGTGTACGGACAGGCGGAGGCGTCGCCCCAAACGCGGCCCCACCAGATGGTCAGCAGGAAGAGGCAGATGGCATACATGGACACCCCAAAGTTGTCGGCCACTGGGGAGGAGGATCCAAAAATGTTTAGATTTAAAACTCGTGAAATCAATGCAATTCCGAGAGATAAACAATCTCAAAATGGTTTGAAAAAAGTGGATAAGATTTAAGATTTTTAAAATATTTTTATGCCGAATCGACCCGCCAGAAGTTATGATATCACATATTTTTAGGAGTTTTTTTGAATAATTAGGATCTTTTGAAATTGATTTTTAAAAAGATTTTCAAACTTTTACTCAGTGAGTAATACTCACCAATGATCAGTTCAAAGCAGCAGGCGCATAGTTCGGCAGCAGCGATTGCCTCGTTAATCAGGATGGGGACCAGTCCCTCACGGGTCACTAGTCGCCGGCTGATAACTCTAGCGATCTGAGCCAGGGCACAACATCCCACCATAAAAAGGGCACTTATCCCTAAGGCTGTCGTCGACATGTCCTTCGTTTTGAGAGTGAAATGATAGAAAGATCGGATCAGTCTTAATTACTTTTATCGCTCTATAACACTGTATTTTTGAAGAAACTTCCTGAAAACATCAAGTAGGTCTAACTCAATTTTACACTCCCCTCAGTTGACTAGTTAAATTATAAAGGAAAGGCTGTTAATGAAAATTAAGGAAATATTCGTAACATCAAGCTTAGCTTGCGCTATTTTTCATTTTTATTATTTGTTGATTGATGATATTGCCAAGAAAAGTGAAGTTAAGTTTAAACATTTTTTTTTAATTACTCAAAAGGCTTACTAAATTCTTTTAAAAAAAAAACTATTGGAATAATTTTGAGTTCTATAAAAGTTAATGCGCCGTATAAAAGTTGTTCCAAAAGTTAAGGGTTCTTAGGCCCTTAACTCAAGGCCTTCTTATCTCATGCACCTTGAATATTTCACATTTCAAAGAACATTGTAAATTAATGTTCTTTGTGTGCGAAAAACTATTTCCGAATCCAATGCACAAGCGAAAGCACTAAAAATAAATGTTTTGGCTGAAGCTTGACCGCGAAAAAAAACCAAATAAATACAAAAAAAATGGAAAATATTTAATTTTGGACGATATAGCCTGTCTGCGAATTCGTAAAAAACTAATTTGGCACACACTGTGCAAGTTTTTTGGATTTATATGATGCACATACTTTGCAATTATAAAAGACGATGCGGATTAAAAAAGTAGCGGAAAACCGCGTTAAGAGGCTGCGAGATCTGACCGTCGACTGAGACCCAGAACAAGTGAATTATTTATTGATCACTCTCTGCTCGCTCGCCGGGAAATCTTCTATATTTATACACTGGGTCCTGACGTAATATCAAAGAGAGCGCCAGATTTCAAAAAATAACATCTTGCCGCCTTTCGCTGCATGGGCAGCATTGCCAGCGCTGGCATATCGATTGACACTTGGCATATCGATAATCAGCTGATTTTCTATAAGAACCGTTTACATGTACATGTTTTAATTATGCAAGATATATTAGTAAATATTATTTTTAATGGGGATAACAGCAAGATAACATCAGAATATAAACCCATGTATATATTGGATTTACAATTTTTTAAAATTTTATAGCATTGCACAATAATCCCTTGTGAACGGGGCTTACTAATTGCAAAACCAAAACAATTTTGAAAGTGAGTTGAGATAGCACTGGAAAATAATGATTATACGAATTATTAAGACAGAAATGCATTATTTTTAGTGCTGGAGTTGCTCTGCAGGATCAGCCCGGCAAGATTGCCATGGAGGAGCTGCATGTCCATTGCATCCACTCAACTGGCACAGAAATCGAGACACTTTGCCACAGAATCTGCCGGCAAAAGTACGGAGCCCGACCACGCCGGATTCACCGAGTGGCGGACCGTCTACAGTCTGCCGGCCATAAGGATAGTGGCTGCATTCAGTAAGCTGAAAGTCTACCAGGCGGCCATCACAGCAGCCGGAACGCCCATTGTCTTTGCCCTGGGAAGCGCCGGACAGCTAAGCTCGGATGCACTGGCCATCTACGGTGCCGTGGGAATCTCCGGCCTGGTCACCCTCACACTCGCCAGCTACGCGGCCTCCAATCTCGTGGGCTTCGTCTACGTGAACGAGCAACAGGATCTGATCAAGCTGGCCTACGTGGACTTCTGGGGACGGCGACAGGAGGCGCTGCTGGATACCGATGATTTGCTACCCAGTTGCGAACAAGGAGGAAGCCCATCCCGACTAAAATTCGTTTCACCCATCTGCCTGCGTAGCGATCCTAAGAAGCGGTTCAAAATTCTCAACCGTTTTGGCCATGTCAGCGATCCCCAGTTTTTCGAGGGCCTCTTTGGAGACTGATTATAATTTGTCAGATTTAGGGCCGTTTTTTCGTCCGCTTGTTAAATTAAAATTAGGATTAAAACCTTGAAATCGTATGGGTAATCAGATTTCTAACCCTACTTTAAATTCACCAGGCGGACGAGAAAACGGCCCTTAGTTTGTTATTGTATATATCTGTTAATTACAAAATAATGTCCAAAGACATTTACTTGTTTTGAAGTTTTAATCTATCTGTACAAGTTTGGTTTTTATGATGATTTAAAACCCCTAAGCTTTAAAATGTTGTAATCTTTTTTTACAAAATACTTTATTATGAGTATTTACAAAAGTTCTGCAGGGTTTCCTTATACAAAATATCAGGACCAATGAACGGTGATCAATGTACCATTAAAAAAGGGATATGTCCACAAAATCGGCGGATGAAAGGTGTTTCATTATTTACCCAAAGCAATGGCTTCTTCCACCTGAAAATACGGAAACTAATTGATGATTTACCTACATCTGATAAGTACTTACCGTATCCGGCAGCTTTCTGTTAAAGGTTTCCGGCAATAACAGCGAGAGGAGTCCAGCCACCAGCGATAATCCCCCAAATAGCAGAAGGGGCAGCGGTTCATAGTACGTTGCCTGTCAAACATAAAATATTCATGGATTAAACAAAACACTAAGTACATTTATATAAGATCATGAGATCATAATAAGATCACATACATAATGATCTAAAAACTAATAATTTATTATTACCCCCTTGAGCAATGGAATATGATTAAAAACTGTATATATATACATTTCTGTTATAAACTTCGTAAAATGCTTACTCCGTCCAGTTCAAAAAGTTTAAAAAGAAAAACAAAAGTTATTAGAACAAAAAATTAGTCACCTACCATTAACTTAAAATAATTTATCAAATCGTTTGAGCCAACATCTTTCCAATCTCACTAAAAAAATCATAAATGGTGAAGTTAAATATCCATGGACGCATATCTAAACAGGGTGGCGGTAGTTCCGACAATCATGAGGATCAATTCGCACCCACATGTCATCCAAAAAATTACACTATACACTCATCAAAATACAGAACTATATCCTATTATAAATGATGTATATTAGAGGACTTAATTGGGCGTGAGCGTGAAAGCTGTGCGAACTGTTTAAAGATCCGTAGGAACCGAGCCTGTTGGCTGTTCCTTCTCATAATCCCAGAGCTAGACTCGAAATCACAAACAAACAAACAAGCTCTAGTTCAGACTGTTCAGTCACTCGTGCAGGGCTCATCCGACCCGATAAAATGTCTTAAAAACTGATTAATTAATAGATTTATTTATCCCAATTCATCGCTTTATTTTGGTTTTTTTTAAAGAACCTTTTTTTTAAGTTTAATATAATAGGACTGCACTTACCAAAAGAGGAACGAATGGAGCCAGCATCGCCCCAAATCGTGCAAATGTGGACATAACACCGACGCCGCCGCTCCGAATAACCTAATAACAAATGGGAACCAATATAATCGGTTATATGGAATCAAGTAAGTGAAAGTTCCATACCGTGGGCATCATTTCCGCAGTAAAGGTGTATATGACGGCGAAGGATGATGTGATGCCCAGTTTTCCGACAAGGAAGAGCGTCACAACCAACCAATTTGCACCTGAGAGATACGATAGACATTATTGATGGCTAGGGAATGGTTGGTGAGTAAATGGTCTAGAGTGAATACTATTCTCTGAATAGTTATTGAATTGGGAGCTTGGAAACTTACAACTCCACGAGTGTCTACCTTCAATTGCGGCTTTGCAGGGAATCCAATCTCCTTGTGCTTAGCGGGTATGCATAGTGAATTAGAATATATGTACTTAAAATATAAACTCCTCTTAAATTATTATTTGTTTGTATGCTAGCAGATTTGATTCCCAATCTATTGGCATTCAAACCTGGACATTTTTATTTTATCTTTACGCAATGCGCCTTTATATGATACGATTAAAAAACACTTAACCATTTCACTTTTTTTATGAATGTTAAAAAAATATCTATCTAAACGATTTAGTGATAAGATACTGATAAGTTTCTTACCCAGGGTGACGAAACCACTGGCTACACAAGTGACGGAGCAGAGCAGCAAGGAGCCGGAAAGGGCCAGACGTCGGCCGAGTCTTCGCAGGAACAGCTACTGGTGAAGGATTGGGTTTGGGTTAGATGGTGTTTGTTTTCCAGCCGATGACGGTAACAACCTACCCAGGCGAGGCTATAGCCGGGAATCTCCACCAGGCAAACCAAAGCGAAGTTGAGGTACTTGTTGCCACTCAGACTGGTGGCATTCAGCGAAAGTCCGTAGTAGACTATTGCATTGACGGCCCAAATGAGGAGCAAAATGGCGTATCTGGCCATCAAAATGTGAGTGCCTGCTACCTGTTTAATGGCCAACCATATCCTATTGTCCTCCCGCTCGGTAAGGACACCCTCGGCTGAGTACGCTGGTTCCGTTTCCGCTTCCAGCTCCTGCTGCTTGAAACTGGCCATCAGCTCAATGGAGATGTCTCGCCGGTTGACCTTCGCGGCTCGGCGAATGATGTTGCCCGCCTGCTCCCGCCGGTTGCGGGCCAGCAGCCACCGAACGGACTCCGGAACCAGCCAGAAGTAGACCACGCAGATGAGGGGCGGAATCGAAAGCACCAGCTGCAGTTGACGCCAGTCGGGCAGGAATACGGAGAGTCCAAGCAGCGCCTCTCCCACTGCGTAAAAGTAGTTGAGCACGATGGAGGACATCTCCCGCTTCCGCGGCCCCACCATCTCCACGCCGATGATGAAGGCCAGCGGATAGACGCCGGAAGTGCCCACCGCGTTCAACAGGGCGAAAACCAGGAAACTGATGTAATCCCAGGACAGCGCCTGCGCCACACCCGTCAGGGCCATGAACAAGATGCAGATCAAAAAGACATGCTTACGTCCGTATCTGAAATATGTTTTCATTATTATTGAGTTTAAAAAAATTCAATTTATTTTCGGTTTCTTTTTAAAAAATTAAAGTACTTATCAAGCAACTTAGTGACTTAAATGATTTTCAATTTGTATAATAAAAATTTGAGAATAAGACTTATTTTCAATTTATATAATAAAAGTTGGAGAATAAGACTTATATTCAATTTATATAATAAAAATTGGAGAATAAGATTTATTTTAAATTTTTAAAAATAATACTTATTTCCAATTTGTAATATAAAAAACAAAAAAAAATTTATTATTTTCTAATTTTTATTTTAAAAATCATAAGAATTACGATCCCTGCTTAAATCGATTATAGTGACTTAAAGATTTGGTTTAAGACTTGTTTTATAAAGAAATATTTCTAAGGGCTTAATATTTCAGAATATTTGCACATTTTTGAAAAACTTTTGGTAATCAAGAAGACAAAAACATTAGACTAAAAACGATTTAATAACGAATTGCTTAAATTCTGTAATTTAATTGATTTGCTTTTTACTACAAAATTTTAACTTATTCCAGAAGTAAAATTTTCTTTATCCTTACCGATCTGCCAGGTAGCCGGAGAGAGCTGTTCCCACCACCAGGCCAGCGAAGTGCACCGTGCCCACGAAAGCCAACTTCCAGAGATTCTCTTGGCACTGCAGCCGCCACTGCTGCACAATTGTCCGTTCAGAGCTTCCGTAAACGAACTGCCGACATCTCTCCGTCTCCGCAGTGAAATTATCAGCGGAGCATTGGTACAAAGGCCATGATCCTTCAGGTTCACTTCCTTTCGCCACGAATCTATCACAGGTGGACGGCGTGAATTGGCCCCGCTTGCTCCAGCTGCCGGGCACGGCAATAGATACCCAATCTGCTCCATAATTCGGATTGTCTAAACTATCGCATCCGGGTACGTAGCATCGATAGGTGGGCGATCCTGCCGTAAAAACATACGACAAGCTGTTGGCGGCCGCAAACAGAACAGGCAGGCAGATAAGCAAATAGTTACGCCGCTGGAAACGCCCGAATTCTCCGATTTCGGCGAGGATGTCATCAAAGTCCAGGACGGCAGACGCCGCTGCTGCCGCCGGAGCCGACATTTTAAAGATATCAGAAACCTGTGTCCAATCTAAATACGGGAAACCGTGTTTTTAACTAATTATTCTGGTTTTTTAAGCACGTGACCTGGGGAACAATATAATGTGTTAGAATATGTAAACTGTAGGGCATTCTAATTATAATCACGCATTTTGTGGGGTAGTATATATGGATATTTTAGATCAGAAATAGAAAAAAGTGAATAATCCACAGGTTGATTTGCATGATATTATTATAGTGTAAGAGCTACCTAAATTCCAACTTTTTTTTGCATGTTGGTTAGTTAATTTAAAATAAATTTAAAACAATTGAATTTTTTGACCTTTATGTTTCTCTAAAATAAAAAAATACATTCACAACACCTATACTTCAGGAAAAATTAAAAGCAGAACAGATTGTCTAATAGATTTATATTTTGCTAACAATATTCCTTCAACATTTATTTTTATTAGCGTTCTGTAAAAACAAAGTTTTTACAAAGTTACTGCGTTTGTAAGCTAAATTATTACATTGTAAATTTATTAATTTATTTATATTGACACCTAAATATTATGACCCTTTGGGCTCGAGTAACGAAACCAGCTTTAAAACTAACTAAACAAAACACCGCCTACAGAGAGAAAAGAAAGTCTAAAAGATTTCAGATATAACCTTTTTTACGAGAAATGATCAGGCATTTGACAAATCAAATACAAGATTTTCAATACGGAATTGTCTAGCAGACAATTTATACAGTCACGGTTCTTTCTGTTTAACTTTAAGATCGATTAATTGTCTGTTTGATCTTATTCATTTAAGCGGAGCATCATTCATTGTAAATAGTCGCTATGTAGTTGGGATAATGTTTGAGTATGCATGCAATCCAATTTCATCAATTGAGATAAATTGTTGCATGCCAGTGTCTTGAAAAACGGAGAGTGTTGTAAGTGGAATATGTGTTTTAACTGGTAAAGATGACTGATTGGTGCGTGCCAGCCTAGAATAATGCATAATGGATGAACCGTGTGGGAATTGCCCCAAAAGGTATTCCAACTGAATAGGAATATTTTCTAGGGCAGGCAAGAACGCGTATCCCAATCCGTGATTTTTGAAAGGTCAGGGTTGGGGTGGATTCTATTATTGCATTGAATTGTGGGAACTTCTGCAGGCTGCTGAAATACGTCGGCAAAGTGTCCAGATAAGAGTGCTCCCATTATCTAATCACTGCGAATTTTAATGATGCACTCAAAGCGTCTGCCGTTTTGCACTCGCTCATTACACCGGATAATTACCGAAAACTCACTTGCTAAACACTTGGCAGGTGTCTTTGGAGTAATTAATGCAGTCACTAAACAATTCGCGCGTTTTCTAACGATATCCGGGTCCGGCAAGCTACTCCGGGTTTTCCGTATCCGGTCCGAATCGCGCAAAGTCTGGCGAAATACTGAATTGAAAATAAAATGCAAACGCACACAGAGAGGCAAACACAAAAGGCACTGTGCAATCTTCGTGCTCAATCTTAAATCAAAGTAGACGGCATTAAAATCAATACCGAGAGAAAATTGTTCAGGGGAAAGAGTTTAAAAGCTACTTTCTCTTACGGCGAATTCTTCTAAGAGAATCGCTTGCTGATCACCCAATTTGGAATTCTTTGATTTTAAAATTACTTTTCCTTACGCACCAAAGTGCACATTTTCGATTATGGAAAACTATAAAACTGACTACAAAAATTCCTACAAAATTAAAATAATAAAAATATACAATTTTCTTGTAATATCTCTAACTAAATTAACATTTGATATTCCTTTAACTATATAGGTTTTTTACAAACAATAAAAACGTAATTTTTTATTATTTTTAAGGTCATTGCTCATCATAAGTTAAAAGTAGGCTTTAAACAGAGAAGAACCTACTTTTACGATTAAGATAAATCAGTATACCCAATATCAAAGAAGTTCTGGTGAAATGCTTTAAGAAGACTCCCGGTCAGAATTACTTCTTCAGCTTGATGAACTTTGAGGCGAACTCGTAGATGCCCACGGAGTTGTTGTTCTTCTGGTCGTACTCCACCCAATCGTCCTCGGAAAGATCGACCTCCTCGAACTGCTGGCCATTCTCAGCGGATGAGACTCGCCAGCCGATGCGGGGCGAGAAATCCACGGGCTCTGCGCCGCGGCACTCGAAGATCACGATGGTCTTAAATCCGCCAGAGTCGTCCGCCGTGTAAGGGGCTGTAAAGACGGGTTTGAGTTAAGAAGCATGTGGGGTTCTGGAACTATAAATATATAAATTATATACCATTCGACTTTTCCACTATATCAAGGCTGTTTTCCCGACTGCACATCTTGCACTTCATGTAAAAGTTAAAGCCGGCCGCATTTCGGGAATCCTGCTGCACGCGCTCCGACTCGGTTATGTCGTGCCATTTGTCCGACTGTTCGCCGCAGTTGCTGCACTTCAGTTTCAGGAAGAAGGAGTAGTCCGGATGACAGGTCTCCAGCTTGTCCACGTTCTCCAGCGTGGCGGAAATCTGAAGGCCCACTCGCACCATTTTTTATAAAGTTTATGTTTATATTTCAGATATTGAAACGAAACAGCTGATTGGCAGAGATGCCAGATGTCGTGTGTTTTCTCCCTGTCTTCGCAGTGGCAACGCTCTCAATGAGAGTGGAGATTTTCCTGCAACAAAGCGTAAAAACATAAATAAATAGTTACAACTAATAAAAGTATGGATCTGAACATGAAACCTTCTCTGGCTGCCGACGAAATGTTTTCCGAGGGCCCTGGCTACATGGAAATGGACGAGGTAAGACCCTAAAGGTCGTCTTGAAAAAAGCCCAAAGTATAAGAAGTTCAGGCCATCTTCTCAGACTTTTGCAAAATATTTAAAATTCGGTCAGATCTTTGTGATTTTCAGGATTTTCTGATCTCTGGACCTTATAAACAAAACGTAGGATGATTAGACTTAGATAGTTTTTTCAGATGTACTTGTTTAGAAATTACCTACATATACATTAGTTATCGGTTTATTTTAAGCACAGGCAGACCTAAGTACACAAATTTAAAAAAACTGTAGCTCCATGTACATCATCTATATTCCTAAATAGTTTTATATACCATGCCATATGCGGGGGTGATATGACTTAGAACAGTTATATCAAACCCTACATAGATAATTACAAAGACAACTAATTTTCCCAAATTGTATCCTTTTAGTCCGGCGGAGCCACAGGAATGATGTTGGACCACCTGCCCTCGAACGACAAGCACGTCCACGCCGACTTTTACAATGATTTCGACGATCTGTTCGATGACGACAACTGGGCCAAGATGAAATCCGATGCCAAACAGTAGACTATCACAGGATCACAGCATTGTAATCAGTGGATTAAAAGATCAGTGTCTACAGTTCGTTCTTCTGCCTCTAGTTTTACTTTCACAATAATCAGCGATTTGCGGTGTATAAAAAATTGATTCAACTATTGTTTAATCGCTATATTATATTCATTTGGTTCGTATAACTAACGTAAATTGCCATGTGAAGATAGTGCCGAGGTGGATTGAACTTTGGCGTAGCGTAAAATCAACAAAATGTATAATTTTGTACAGAAAACGAAACTAGTAACTAAATTTACGATATCAAACTGAGTTGCAGGTGGAATGAAGCAAACGTAATTGAGATAAATACAAATGTACACGATAAGCTAGTGGATCCATTGAGTGTGTTAACCAAGTAGTACGCCCGGGGCCAAAGCTATCCGTCCAACGGAGTGCCCAGGTAGACCATCGAGACCTCGGTGTTGCCGTAGACAGCGGATACTGTGGGATAGAGCTTCTTGTCCGGCAGTCCTGCAATCGGAGAGGGTACAAAATAGGTAGACCTTCGCCAGGATTAGGGATAAGTAAGCCTCACCTCGAAAGGCCACGCCCAGGAACTCGTAGTTCTTCTCGAACGACAGCGTGTTGTCCTCGCAGTCGAGAATGACGCGTATCCGCTCGCCCACCTGGTACTTGGGTGCATTGTTCAGCAGCGGATAGCTGCCCTGCATGTCGCCGTTGTGCAGCAGGTGGTTCTCAACCAGGTTCCAGCCCCAGCTCTGGTCATCGGAGCCGAGGAGAGCCACATAGCCGTGGCACTGCAGCGCCGCCTCCTTGGTGGATATACCGATGACGGCCACGGTGCCCAGCGGTCCCTCCCAGATCACCTCCCAGGTGTGCCGTCCGTGGCGGAAGCCGATCTTGCCGCGGGCCGCGTCTGTGCTCTGCGCCACGGGATTGCTGTCGGATGGATAAAAGGATGTTAGGGCATTGCTACGTTAAGAGTCACAATCTACCCCCTTACCGATGCAGGGTGAACCCGTTGGGCTTGATGTACACATTGCGGGAGCAGTCGTTGGGGCTCCAGGCGTGGAAGTACGCCCGCAGCTTCGTCTTGTACGTGGAGACGGAGGCGAGCAGGTCGGACTTGAGGGCCTCCTTGGGCAGCTTGTTCAGGCAGTGCCAGCGCCACACGTCGCTGTTCTCGTCGTTGAGGAAGTGGTACCAGCTCTTGCACACCTGCGAGCAGTGGCTCAGGTCGTCCAGCTCCAGGTAGGAGAAGATCACCTCCAGGACATTGTAGTTGCACAGCGCCGCCACCGGGTCGACCATTGTGAGTGCGGCTGCTCCTGTGCTCTGCTCCAGTGACTTGTTAATTAGCTGCTTCGGTTTCGGTTTCCCTGGGCCTGTAGTTTGTCATTTTTCCACACCAATCCAGCCAACAAATAAAAAAAACTCCAGAAATTCGGAATTCGCCTACGCAGTGTGACCGTTGGCGGGATACCAATCGAATACCCCACGACCGGACAAAGTGGCAACTTTGTTTACATTCGTGACCAGTGTGGCAAAACGACGGCCAGCTGCTTGCAACACTGCGTAAATTGATGCGTAAATTGGCGCGCACGGTCTGCCATTTCATTCGCACCCGCACACAGCCTGCTTAGCCTTTCCCACATGAAAACGAAAAGCAGCCACTTGGTGGAAATTTTGTGACCATTGTGCTGCGCTTAGAAATCGCCCGAATTCGCGTAGCCACACGCCGTTCGAAAGAGGAGAGTCCCAAGAATCTTTTGCCACCGTCCGCGTGAAAATCGAAGCGCCGCAAGTCCGCGAAAAAGGCCACCGAAAAAGGGCCGCCGCTGTGAGTGTGTGTGACCAGAAGAGAAAAAAAATGCCCTGCCGCTGGAGGTGAAAAATGCGCTCGCCATTTTGACTCGGGCGACAGTTTTTGTACAAGTGCGCTCGCCGTCGTCGTCGTCGTGGTCGTGGTCCCCATCCGGATTCGCACACGTGCCCCAGTCCGTGGGTGCAGTTCGTCCGCCCACCCATCCACCGCAGCCGCCCCCTCCAGTTTTTCCCCCGTACACACGTTGCGGCCACGGGCACGTAGCACCGTTTCGTTTTTGTTTTTGGCGGTCCACCTGGTGAGCGGTAAGCGGTAACGAAAACAACAACAACAACAACAGCTGCCCCACCAACAAAAATGGCGCATTCGACGGGCGGCACGGTGAAGGCCGACGAGGTGAACTTCTTCTTTCGGGACGAGCACGGTAAGTGGGCGGGCTCGGGATCCTGTGGGCAGGATTTTAGCTGGCGGTGGAGTGGGTGCACTCGCAGCTCCCACACACACACATACACACTCGTACCTACAGCCGCACACACACACTGGCACACTCCACAAAGTTGCATGGGCAGCGTAAAACGCCATCTTTGCTTTTTCGGGTTTCTTTTGCCTACCATATTCATCGTTTGATACGCTTTGCGGGGGGGAGGGGGAGAGGGAGGGCGACCAGCGAGACGAACCGAAAAGAGTGCTAGAAATTGGCAAAAAGTAATAATAAAAGACGGAGAGACCCCCGCGAAATAACAACTAAAATCGGTGAGCCACCCAGCCCCGCCCCCTTTCGAACGCCCATCGCCCAGTTGGCGCGCTCACTCACACACACGCACACTTGCACGCGCGTTTTCTCCCACTTTTTTTTTATCGGGCGGCGAACAGCTGATTACTTCGCCGCTGCTGCGAATTCGCTTTGAGGATTTTGCATGAAGTGATTCGCCGATTTGAGCTATTATTTTCTTGGTAATGTAAAGCAATAAATTCAATTCAAGCTAAAGTATCTGGTCTGCGTGACATTCTGCAATGTCCCAGCGAGTCGGAAAGAGACATAGGGAGCGGGGTGAGAGAAAAAAGGCCAAAACAAGAACAACGCTGCCACACACCAACACACGTATGCAGCCACGAAGCCCAAATAGGTGTAAGCGCTGTACACGTGTGGGGTTGTTCGTAGCCGCGTTTATGCATAATTCGTCGATTGCGATTACCGTAATGACTACTTGAAGTTCCTAAATTGAACAGAAAGCTTAAGATGATTTGAGAGAAAATAAGACATGACAATCCTCATTAACCGCATATGTTAAGTAGTCATCATCTGTAGTAGTTATCATCTGTACAAACAAATGAATTTCAAAAATTATCAATAGTTTACACATCAAAGTATTTTGTTAATCCTAAACTAGCCAGTTATCAAGGGAATTTTTGTAGAGAGTCTGTTTCATAGAGACAAAAAATATTTGGTGAACATTGTGGTTTGAACCTCGTTTGTGGTTATACATTCTTTTATGTGTAGCCTGTGATAACCCTAAATAAACTAAGAACGAATTTTAACACTATCGTTTTCGATATTCGAATATATAATTTAACAAGTAAATTAAATTCGATTTGAAAATGTTCTTTAACTATGAAGCAGCATCGTGTTAAATGTTCCGTGATCTCAATTTTTCTTGACTTTGATGCACGCATAAACGAAATATATCGGGCGTTTGCAGCCCGCTCGAATTGGCGACAAACCCGGTTAGTGGTTAACTAGTTGACTAGTGGGGGCAAACTAAGGAATCGCTCTTACAACTTCTGGGATTCTTTATTCACTTGCATTTAGGGAAAACTGCCTAGACATTGTGGTATCAGTCTAGCCGAATTTCAGACTCTCAGGGCCAACATCTGGCTGGAATGTCCGGTATTTGCCCCTGCTCAACGATGTTTAAGCCCCCGTGAGTCTGAGTCATTTGCAGGTGCTTGTGAGAGAGTTGGCAGGTATTTTTAGCGCTCGACCCTTTGCGGTTTTTGTTTTGGGCTTTTCATCACTATTCTTCTTTGGCCACTCGCTTTGTTATGATTATGCAAATATCGGGCAGAAGACAGGTGAATAATTATTTCATCGAAGACCATGTAAAACTTGAAATGTTTAGAAGAGCCGGTTACACATGTAGATCTAGAACCAGGGATACGAAAACGAATCGCTAATGTTTTGTTCTGTTTCGATGTCTTGTGGAGTTCTTTTGAAAGAAATTATTAAATGTGACTTTAAGTACTTTTGAAGAGATGTAGTATACAGCAATTATAGTCCTGACATTTTTTACCTAGTCCGTCTGTCTGTCGTAAGAACGTCAAGATCTTGGAACAAGGGATTCGTTTTTAAGACATTGTAGATGATCGTCATGTCATTATTGATTCGAAATAATCCAACAGATGACAGATCGTCTACCGGTCTTTGGCGGACAATCGTGGCGAGTCACGAACTTTTCTATCGAACCATCTCTATTTGGATTAAGGTTCACCTTCGGTCACGTGCTGCCCATCTCTAATGTCCAGGCGATCTGGTTTCGGGTTGTTTGTGCTCCTTCAACTTTATCCTTGTCACACCGTGTTCAGCACACGCACACCACCTTCGCACGAGTGTGGTGTATGCACCCCAATCTCTACGGTGCCGCTTGCCTTTTGTTGTTGCATCCGACTCCAGTGCGCTTCATTCGCTCCATTCTCTTAATTCGCCGCGAGGCGAAAACAACGCATCGTTGATAGTACCACACACACACACTAGCACCCTCACACTCGTGTGTATCTGTGGAAATACATGCAGTTGCGTTATCAAAGAAGGCAATTCAGTCGCGTGTTATGTGTATATCCGAAACTCAAGAACATCCGCATCTCCGTACTTCCAATCCCGCAGGAAAAATAGCCAAGATGCTGAAGCCGGCGCAAACCACATCCGAAATGGAGGGCGGAAAACCCGTGGCCGTCGTTTATGCCACCGGCTCATCGGCGCGCAACAGCGGAAATGCCAGCGGCATTGGCAACGTGGGCCGCATGGGCGCCTTCAGTCAAATGGTGAGTTTAAAACCCATGCCACCAAAAAACCGGAAGAGCTAATGCCGAATGATCCGGTTAATCCACAGGGCTCCAGCAATCAGGGACAGTTTATACGGCTGCAGGACAACGGACTGTCCATTCCAAAAACAGAAGGTGAGATCTGGTCTTCCTGCTCCTCATTCTTTACTAATCCCCTGGATCTCTTAGCAGGTACTACCTACACCACCGTTTCGGCGCAGAGAACAACGGGCGCCAGCAGTGGACTTTACGATTTGCCCATAAAGGGGGATCGCTATGTGAAGTTTACGCCAAATCCCATGAAAATGAAATCAAAACTGTAAGTAGTAACCAAAAGATCCTAATCAGTTACTAATATTAAGATTCCTATACCTTAGCCATGCCATTCAGAGCAACTCCTTGCACTCCATGTCCGCCTCCTCATCATCCGTACAAAGGAAACGCAAGCCGGACAAGGCGGGCAAGGGGTTGCGCCACTTCTCGATGAAGGTCTGCGAGAAGGTGGAGGAAAAGGGCAAGACCACCTACAACGAGGTGGCCGACGACCTGGTCAGCGAGGAGATGAAGAACAATGCGTACGACAACAACTGTGATCAAAAGAATATCCGACGTCGTGTCTACGATGCGCTCAACGTACTGATGGCAATCAATGTTATCTCCAAGGACAAGAAGGAGATCCGCTGGATAGGGCTGCCCGCCAATTCAGCCGAGGTGGGATTGGGATTAATCCGGATTAAGCTAAGATAATCAACTTACTAATACTTTCCACACCTTTTTTCCATAGCAATTTTCTGCCCTGGAGGAGGAAAACAGTCTGCGCCGCGAGCGCATCAAGCAGAAATACGAAATGCTCCGCGAAATGATCATGCAGCATGTGGCGTTCAAGGGATTGGTCGAGCGGAACAAGCGGAACGAGAGCCAGGGTGTGGTGCCCTCCCCCAACGCCTCGATCCAGTTGCCGTTCATCATCGTGAACACGCACAAGTCCACCAAAATCAACTGCAGTGTGACCAACGACAAGTGAGTTTACAATTAGCTCAACTTTTTCTAGACGTTGTTTATAATCCAGTTAATTCCCACCTAGTCAATTATGTTCTTGGCCTTAGCCTTAGTCAGTGGATTGACCTCAAAGCATTAACTTTTATTCAAAAGATTCAGAAACTTCTTCCGGCTCAATCGCAAAGAACACTAAATTTTATTATCCCTCGATATAAAACCTTATGCTCGAAGAGGCAATTCTTTATCAATGCAATTCGCCTATGGAACAATCTCCCACGTGCTATCAAAACCATTAGAAGCGCGTCTCAATTTAAATCGAAAATCAAAGAATTGATGCTAGATCAAAATTAGTTGCAAACTTATAATCGAATTATCAACCCAACTTTGTTAGATTTTAAGTAGTACTTTTAAATTAAATTATTACTATTTTTGTTACTCAATCCGATGTGACTAGCGCAATAAATATAAGTTGTTACTTGTAGCGTTAGGATATCAACAAATAAATAGAATAAAATAAATAAATAATCCCCGTATTGCAGGTCCGAATATATATTCAAGTTCGACAAGACCTTCGAAATGCACGATGACATTGAGGTGCTCAAGCGCATGGGATTCCTTTTGGGTGAGTTGCCTTAAAAAGGGGAATACTTACAATGGAAACCTAACCTGTATATTATTAATTTCAGGTCTGGATAAGGGCGAGTGCACGCCGGAGAACATTGAGCGAGTTAAGGCCTGGGTGCCGCCAAACCTCGGCAAATACGTGGAAGGTATGTCCAGCTATCCTACCCACCAAATTCCCTTATTAAAATCACTATTCTATTCAGCCTACGGCACTGGCAAAACTGGCGAGACCATGTACGAATCGGACGACGAGGATAATGAGTTCAACGTTTACCTGGATTCGGCCAATGAGTCGCAGAGCTTTGCACAACACTCGGCACAACACACCACCGATGGCGAGTTCAAGCTGGAGATGGACGATGACGAGCTGGACGACGACATTGATTGAGCTGACGGTGCCGCCGACATTGCGCCAGAAATGGCCGATGCGGATCCGGATGGAGGAGCAGATGCTGATGCGGAGGATACATTTAGTTTTACGTTTATCAACGCTTTGTTAGGTTTGCCACGCCCCCCATGGTTAGGCGGGAGCCCCTCTCCACCCACCCACTAAATTGGTTTTGTTTACTCCACAATGATGAGACTCTAAATTAAATTATGCATCTCACAGCGATGAGAACGGAAGATTCGGAAGTAGTTCATGTATGTACGTGCAGTTCGCATACACAGTTTGTACTTGTATCTTTGAAGATTTATGTTTAAGCTCAAACGTTTTTAAAATAATTTGTCTAGTTAAGCAGAACGCGTACACTTTAGTTCAAGCCAAACCACAGGCCCAAGCGCATGTTCACTCTCTTCTTAGTTGTTACGAGTCTCCCTTCTCCTCCCCAATTGCCTTTTCATGTTCGGGTAGGCGTAAGTGAAAGCGATAATGTTATGGGTAATTGTCTCTAAATAATATAATATACCAAAATTGTACACATAACAGCAATGGAATGCGATTATTTTTAGAATGCCACGAGCAGTTTGAACTGCGGACAAGGACGAACATATGAAATATGTTTAATTTGCAATTTGCTTACAACCGAATGATAAAACGATTGTTTTAGTTTCTCAAAAAACCCACATTTTAAGTTGACAACGGAGAGCAGATAATTGCGACATAATCAACCTACCTAATTAGTAATAACAATTAAAGCAAGATATACATTTTCAGAATTTGTATTTATATTATTGAAACTTCTTCAAGTGAATACAAAGGCATACAAATACAAATTAGTAGAAAGTCAAGTATAAGGCGTTAACAATTAAGTGTCGAGCATGTAGTTGTGTAATAAATCGAAATAATTAATTGCAAGGAAGCAAAGGAAAAATTACAAACAAGTGAGACGAAATCGAACCGAGTGACAAGTTAATAAAGAAATTTTCATATTGTATAATATGATAAACCGAACATGGCATCGTTTTTCATTCGTTTTATTCGTATTTTTAAACGTTTCGGAGAGCGAGTAACCTGTAAGCAACCTGAGAGGCCCCCCGATTACAAACCACTACCTTATGGTTGATGTTTACTTTCATTGGGATCGCTGAATAATTAACATTTACAACTAAATGGAAATATACAAAAGGCGGAAGCTAACTTAAAATACAGGGACGTACATATACAGAAGCTGAACCGAAGGTAACTAAAACTAAGGCTAATTCCCGGAGGAGCTGGACTGCTCAGGCGAATCCCTCGCCCAAGGCGGCTGCCGTCGTTGAGGGCGGACCCAGGGGCTCCTGCTGCTGGGCGGCCAGATTGAAGTCGTAGTTCATCTGCTGCTCCAACGGCGGCGACGCAAAGGCTCCCGCCGATAGATCCATCAGTTCGGGCTGTGGCTGGACGGGCTTCGCCTGATCCTGTGCCTGGATCTCCTGTCGCATTTGCTGGGGCGATTTCACATAGCTGATTGGAATGAGGCCGGAGGTCTGGCCATTTGTGGTGGCCAGGGCCCAGCCGGTGTTGAGCAGATTGAGCGTCTGCTGGATGTCGCGGGGGGCCACATGGAGCGTTTGGCCGGCCCGCAGCGAAAGCTCGCTGTGGCTGCGTCCCACGAAGTCGTAAACGGCCTGGGTCTGAATCGGTGCCGTCCACTTGGCCGGATTACGGGCTGTCGGGGAGGAAGAAACAGGCATATTATTCGCAGTCTTATCACAACAGGCCTTATCATCCAGATTATGGCACATGGACGGAGCAAAGTGCTCTCGATAAGATAAATCAAGTGGGCCGTGCAATGTGCAAGGCTTACCTTCCTCCTGGGCGGTGTTCGTCACGGTGCCCAGCAGCTTCATGATCAAGTAGGGAGCGGTGAAGATGAAGCTGATGAAGGCCAGCACCGGCCAGGGTGAGCTGCCCTTTCGCGGTGCCTGAGGGGCACCTCCCGCCTGGGGATTGTTGTCGTTGAGGGCCTCGGCAAAGGCCTTCTTGAAGGCCTCGGAAGAAGGATCCAGATTCGATAGTCGCAGCCAGAAGAGAATCCTTAAATTAAACATGGGGTTAATAGGGTTTCCATACTCTTTTTCCGCTCCCTCACTTCCTGTAGATCCATTTTAGGCCCCGAAAGATGGCGAATGTCGTCCAGAACTGGGCAAACACACTGCGCAGCCGTCCAAAGTTCGCCGCCACGCCGAGAATGGCGCGAAAGGAGCTGGTCAGCGCGAAGAATGTGGAGTCCAGCATGGAGGCAATGTTGCCGATGGCCGAGACCAGGGATTCGATGCTCTGGAAGGCCGGACGCGAGCTGGCCTCGGCCATTTGAATGAAGCGCTGCTCGGGATCATTGGCGCCCGGTGCTCCGAATCTGTTGTAGCCACCACCGAAGCCTCCGCCGTAGGCGCCGCCGTAACCGTAACCGCTGCCAAAGCCGCCCATTCCACCGTATCCGAAGCCGCCACTGTTGAAGCCACCGAATCCGCCGAGACCGTAGTTGTTTCCTCCATACCCACTGCCAAATCCTCCGAATTGCTGTGTCTGCTGGAACGGTGACTGCGGCAGGGGAGGCGGAAGCTGCGCCGGACCGGGCAGCGCCCTAACATTTCCGTAGGGGGTGCGCAGCACTGCCTCCGGTGGAGATCCGCCGCTGGACACACCCACGCCGTAGCTGCTCGAGGGCGGCAGCAGGGGCGCCTCGTTGATCACCGCGCTGCGCAGGTTGTTGTTGTCGACCATGGTGATTCTTCCGGAAAAAAAGGAAAAGTGCTCTGAACTTTACCCCTCCGCACGGCAGTTGCTGTTTGCACTTTCGGCTGCGGCACTCGATTGTCGACTTTTGGCTGGGAAATCGGTTTGGCGATTGGGGGGAACCGCTTCGTGCGGATTAGCTCGCTCTTATTGCCTCGGAACTCCAACGGCTGCTTATCAATGATTTCTGGCGAAACTTTTGTTTAATATTTAATCAATTTCAGCAGTTGTACCGTTTTATCTTTTTCCAGCTAGATCTAGCGGGAAATAGCTAGAAATTTACAATTAGATATGGGACTTTGAGAGTGTTGCCAGACAAAGCTCCGATTTTCCGCTATACTTAGCTAGAAATTGGAAAGTGGCTAGAAAATGTTTTTAAGCATTAATAGTTGCTCAACAGGTGGATTCCCTAAATTCTAGTAGTTCTGTATCAGATGTTTTTCAGATATTCTATAAAAATGCAATTTATGTTCGCTTACTTATCAACATAATTAATTAAACTGAAACTAACTACAACAACTTACTAACTAACTACAATTCATTAAATTGTTGAGGTTTTATTCAGATGTTTTTCAGATATTCTATAAAGATTCCATTTCTATTCGGCTACTTATCAATTTAATTAATTAAACCGAATCTTACTAACTGCTTTTAGGACCAAATTGCTTCTATTGCAGAGTTGAATTTGCAACTATTTAGCGGTTTAGGGAATACCCTAAATGTAACATAAGAGGAGTACTCCATCATGCAAGAGATGGCAACCCTGCCCGGCATTACCAGCTCACAAATGAACAACAGCTGTGGAACCACTTGCTCGCACTATGAGTTTTGATGCCGATTGTGATGAGTTTATTCAAAACAAACTATTCCGCACCAGGGGGAAATGTGGTGAGCTAACCAACTATAAGTGTATTCAGCAGCACCCGGTTAAATCCCACATAATTTACAGCAATATACGCCCGCCAATCGGATGTCTACGTCGCGGTGAAACAAAAGTCCAGTTTCCGAGCCACTGCACCCACTTTGGCCATGGCGGAGAGCAACAACAACAATGCGATCAACATGCGACATGACATCTGGTTCCACATATCCATGCACATCGATCCGGAGGACGTGCAGACCTTCGCCCTGATATGCAAGCAAACCGCCAGGCTGGTGGCCTCCCGATCCTTCTGGCGCAATCTCTACCGGCGCCACTGCACCGGAGCCACCTCCGGCTGGAACCTAGATCTGCCCGCCCAGCTGCAGCTGGGCCAGATACGCAACTGTGATACCCGAGCCCTCAGATCGCTCGTCATCGAGGCCCTGTTCCACTGCCACCGTCCGCTGAAGATTCGCCTGGAGCTGGGCTACAACCTGGACTGGCTGGTGCAGCGCATCTTCGTCTCCTGCTGGCAGAAGCAGTACCAGTGCCTGTGGATCATGTGCTACAAGTTCTGGAACCGACAGTTGCAGGTGGCCAACGAATCGGAAATGGAAACCAGCAAAGTGGTCAACGATTGGGAATCCCTGGCGGAGGATGAAGCGGGGCAATTAGCTCCCACCCTGGGCAATCCCAATGAAGGTGTCGTTCTGCTCATCGTGCTGTGCCGCCACTTTGTGCCCACCCCGAATCAGTTGTCCTACAGCCAGCAGGAGGCACGCTACCGTTTGCGGGCCACCCGGGAACTCCTCTGCACGGACATGCGGGCCAAGAACCTGGAGCTGGACTTTGCCGAGGATGGCTGCCAAAATGTGTCCGTAACCGTTAAATATGCCCGCATCGAAAAGTACAAAGTATTGCCCTGGTGGCATCCAGACTTCCAGAGATTCGTCAAATAAAAGCCTCTCACCAACTCGATTGTTATCTTTTTTATCTACATTATTGTAGTGCTCGCACCTTATCTTAAGTGCTACCGCCCAAACAAGTGTTGAACATCGCAAACAAACATCTAGCATTGATCGTTTTTATTCAAACGGACTCTGGAATTACACACTTTTGGAGGGAAAAATCACATTTGCATACCTAACAAATAAAACAATCAGGTGCATCGTCGTTATAAAAGAAGCGATTATGTTTAGGGACTACAACTGGAAGAGGACTGTTCATATGTACACACACTTTTAGCTTAAACATAATTACTCTAGGTGCCACGAATACAAAACATATTAAATTCCGTTTCTCGGTGTTCGGTTGTTTAGAATTAATGGAAGCCTTTCCTCGGATTATCCTACACCTTGCCCAGAAGGTCGTGGCCATAGGGCTTCTTGCGGTAGCCCTTGAAGGCGAACAGTTTGAATGCCAGAACCATCATCACGATGCAGAAGGCGTACAGCAGCATGCCCATCCGCATGTCCATGTCGGTGAAGACGCTGGAGATCTGTCGCTTCTGCCGCATCTTGTCCGCCGTGGGATGCAGCAGCTCCTCCCGCTGCACTCCGTAGCGGCTGACGAACTGCGGATTGTGTATGTTCTTCAGGAAGCCCAGCACCGCGTCCTTGTTCCACTCGATCTCCAGGTTCTCCGACTTGGTCTCGGGCGTCCGGTAGCATTCGCTGCAGCTGTCCGGCGCAGGGAATTGCTTCTTGGGGAACTCGGGATCCTCGGTGGCGTCGCCGGCCAGCCGCTGGTTCACCTCGTTGTGGGCCGCCCACAGCCAGAGAACCGCCTCCTCCTTGTTCGGCACACTCCAGATTTTTCGCCTCGATGCCATTGCCTGTGAAAGGTAAACAACAGAAATTACTCAATGCGTGAGCGTCACAAAAAAATACAACTGTTGGCACAGCTGCCGAACGGAAAACCTAGTTAATTACAGTGGCACCTCGTCGGGGGAAACCCGAAATCGATGGAAAGGGTAAACCCATCCGCTCTAATCACTGAACCTTTGCTAAATCCGCAGTTTATAATAGATAATTGATAATAGATTAAACGTTCAATTTGTCTTCCTAATTTAAGGTAGTATAGGTAGTATTCATATTCTTTAAGGTCCTAATAAAGTTGGTTTAATGGGAATTCCACAACCTTTTTGTGATCCAATTAAATTACTTACAAAAGAACAAACTTATTCATCTATCTATCTAATTATTTAAGACATTATATTTCCCCAATTTGTAGACATATACATATAGATAGACATAAACATATTGCATCACATGAGCCAGTGCTCAAATAAACTTCACCTAATTGGCATTTTAAGACCTAACTGTTCGAATTTTAGAAGTTTTTACTAGACTGTTGAAGCTAATCGTAAATTTCAGCTAAACGAAGTAATGACAGTAATTTATTCGAAAGCAATACGCCCTTGTAATCTACGAACAAGTCTTACAAACACTTAGCTAGAGAAAGTGGGAGTCTGACTCACGGATTATAAATAACAAATAAAATCTCGCTTCACAGCTTGGGTCAGAAAAAAGTGACAACAATAAACAAAGCGACTATATATCGTGGTTATTCAATTAGTGCTTGGGTTATACAAGCCGACTACGTGTAGCAATCAATCAATACGAGGTAAGCACCAAAGAACACCAAAAGAACCCAGCACTTTAGAGCTGCTGATCCGAAAACTACACTTTTTAATGAACGCAGCAATAAATAAAATAGCAGTGAAGCTGTTTTTATGGTCTAATTTAGACGTTAAATTAGTTTTTTGGTGACAAAAAAAAATCGAATTAGCATGCATGGAAAATTCCGGCAGTCAGCACTCGAGTCTTTTGTTTGGTAATCAACTATCCTCCCTCCCTAATCAGCACTATTGTGGTCATTGGCACGTAGCCCTCCGCCGGCTGACTCACCTGAAAGTGCTCGGAGCACTCTGTGCAGCCGAAGAAGTTCCTGATGTAGCCGTGCATGGCCTGCAGGACCTCCAGCGGATCCTGGGAATCCTCGTTGGCGACCGCCTGGACGGTCATGAAGTGGAACAGTGTCCACAGGGAGCAGCTGTAGCCCCGCAGCCGTGGACTGGAGCCAGCGCATCCCACAAAGTGGGTGGACGAGTAGACGGGCGACAGTTGGCTCTCCAGGCGCTTCAGCTCCTCCTCGAACTGGCTGCCCGTCAGTTGGTCATTGAACTGCACCACAAAGTCCTTTAGCTTGGTCACCAGCTGATGACCATTGGCGCCCAGCGGGTTGTAGCGCTGCAGCACGGTGAGGAATCGCTGGAGGGCGAGCAGCTTATCGCCGCTAATCTCGCTCACCTTGGACACCTCGTTGTGCAGCACCGTGCGAATGGCCTGCTCGAGATCCGCCTGGTAGACAAAGTGCTTGTTTCGATGCACTTCCTCGATCAGTTCGTTCTGTCCCGTGATCTTCGGCGCCGCCGTGGCCACCGGTTGATGATGTTGCTTCACCGGTCGCGGGGTGACGTTCTTCTCGCGCAGCACTTCCTCCAGCTTCTTGGCATACGACTCACCATTCGCGTATTCCGGCGCATAGGCCGTAATCTCGCCCTGGCGATCCACCAGGCTCAGGGGCAGATTGGCGGGATCAATCTTGAACTTGGCCGAGACCGCAGGATCGATGACGCGTCGCACCTCCACCGCCGGCCATTGGGTCATGAACAGAGCCACCTCGATGCCCAGGGTGGTGTTCTCGGGCTCATGGACCACTGCCACGTACTGAGTGGCGCTGCTGAGGCCCTCGAACAGGCTGCTTACTGAATCGTTTTCTGTTAGATAGTGAAAGTTCGGCCAGTAGGAGTTGTTGTGGCTGCTGGTCAGGTTCTCGGCGGCCACCATGCCCGCCAGCAGCTCCCTAATCTCGGTCACGTCCTGCGTCATCAGGTTCTGGCCGTAGTGCCCAGCACTGGGCTGGAAACCGGGACCCAAATAGCGCAGCGTGGGATAGCCCATCACCTCGTAGTTGCGGCAGACGCCGTTGTTCTCCTCGGCGGCGCAGTCGATGGCCGCCACGACGAGGACCTCGGACCAGGGCAGCAGGTGCTCCGCCAGCGTCTTGTAGGTCGGAGCGAAACGGCGGCAGTGGCCGCAGTAGGTGTTGTAGAACTCGACGAGGGCGCCGCGATTCTGATCCACCACGGTGGCATTGAAGTTGTCCACCGTCAGGCGAATCACCTTGTCGGCGTCGTCGTACAGGCCCAGTGTGGGATCCACGGGGGCGGACTGCTGCTTGAGGAGCGCCTCGTAGCGCGGCAGGGGAACGCCCGCGGAGGCGGAGGCCACCAGAAGAAGGAGCGTCAGCTGTGCCACCGACATTTTGCGGATTCTCCCAATTTTGCGGCTAACAGCGGTTGTGATTCGTACGGAATGTGGAACGCGTCTGCCTGCGATAAGATTCAACTTCAGCGAAGCATTTGGAATTGGAATGTTTTACGGTCGCAAGTGGTTGATTAACTGCTGCACTCTCTCTAGAGATGGGCGCGTGACTGGTTTCTCACGCACTCACGACTGTCGTTAGAAACTTAATATATATTAAATGATTTTTAAAAAGTTCTAAAAAAAAGAAGTCTTTAAATAATTCAACAATGGTACAAGGAAAATTAGCTGTGTGAATATCGTATAACGGTAAATTAACGTGGCACGTACCCATCTCTAATGCCCTCTGCTCATTATGGACGCGTCGCGTTTGCATCCATTTACCGTTTAACGCGCCCAAATCCCATACAAAACTTGTAGGCGAGGGGTAAGGAGGGGAGGGTGGAAATTTGTCGCGTTACAGGGCTGGAAAGTGAAATTTGTGGTATATTTAAGCAGTATTAACCAGGCATGAACATTTTTCTGGACCCGAAACTGATAAGAGGCTGATAAGAAGCGGGAAATATTAAAACCATTTATTGTTTATTTAGCAGTTCGTTTATTTTATCCAATGGAATGGCTCGGCTAGAAAGGATCGGAAGCGAAATATTGGTCGTTGCAGCGCAGCCACATGGGCTTTCCCGTCTCCATGATCTTGACGTTTGCTTCGCGTGCGCTCTCCTTTTTTTTTTTTTTTTTTATTTTTTTTTTTTTTTTAAAATAATTTTTAAGGTATTTAATAAAAAATTTTATTTTTCTTTTTTTTTTTTTTTTTTTTTTTTTTTTTTTTTTTTTTTTTTTTTTTTTTTTTTTTTTTTTTGCGGCGGCGCCGCCTCCTTCCCTTTTTTTTTTGTTTTTTTTAATTTTTTTTTTTTTTTTTTTTTTTTTTTTTTTATTCTTTTTTATAAAATTTTTTTTTTTTTTTTCCTTAAAAATTTTTCAAAAAGGGTAAGGGGGGGTTTTTTTTTTTTTTTTTTTTGAAAATTTTTTTCCCTTTTAAATTTTTTTTTTGGATTAAAATTATAAATAAAAAATTTTTTAAATCCTTTTTTTCCTTCACCCCCAAATACAATAGCACAACAGCTGTTTTCAGACGCGTTTGCCAATGGAAACACCTCACGTCCGCCTATCGCGTTGCCAATCGAAAATACACAAAAATACCGAAAAAACCGCATAGTGGAAAAATGCCTTAAGCCTAGTACTCAGTTCGGCTAAGAGTTTTACTAGTCGAAAAATTTTAATATTTTAGGGTGACCGAAGTTTTCGGAGTTCATCCGCAATGCATGTAGAATGGTCTTACTCTCAGCAAGCAAATTAACTGGCGCCAATTTTGAAATATTACAAAATAATTAGCCGACCTAGGTCGCAAGCTTTAAATTTTCTGTTGGAATGAGGATATGTATTGCTGCAACTCCTACAGGCAGTTTTCCATTGGTTTTTGGGGTTTTCATTCTATTTATAATATGTTATTGGCACACCCCTTCTGCACAAACACAGCCAAAGATCAAATTTTTTATTCTTTGGGCCGCGGCTAAAGCCTAGTACTCAGTACGACGAAAACTGCTAGCTAAGCATAGGAGTAAGCGAGAGGCAAATAGGTAGCTAAAGCCTTTAGCCGGGGACTTTTTTCACCGCGGTACTCAGTTGAGCTAAGGAAATGGTAAGGAAATACCAAAAAAATACTAGATTTAGCGGATGAATTCCGATGAACGCCTTTAGCCGCGGCCCAAAGAATAAAAAATTTGATCTTTGGCTGTGTTTGTGCAGAAGCGGTTTGCCAATAACAATGTATAAATGGAAGGAAAACCACAAAAACCAATGGAAAACTGCCTGTAGGAGTTGCTGCAATACATATCGCCATTCCAACAGCGAATTAATAAAAGAATTAATATTTTAAAATTGGCGCCAGTTGATTTGTTTGCTGAGAGTAAGACCATGCTACATGCATTGCGGATTAACTCCGAAAACTTCGGTCACACTAAAAGATTAATATTTTTCGACTAGTAAAACTCTTAGCCGAACTGAGTACTAGGCTTAAAGGCGTTCATCGGAATTCATCCGCTAAATCTAGTATTTTTTGGTATTTCCTTACCATTTCCTTAGCTCAACTGAGTACCGCGGTGAAAAAAGTCCCCGGCTAAAGGCTTTAGCAACCTATTTGCCTCTCGCTTACTCCTATGCTTAGCTAGCAGTTTTCGTCGTACTGAGTACTAGGCTTAACACTCAAAGAGTTTATTGCCACGGCGAACCAGTTTTTCTGCTGGAACTAGAAGCAATAAACGAACTTTCTAAACCAAAATTAATTACAATTTTTACTGTAGTTTTAGCCAATAATATATTCATGTAATATAAATGAATGAAAAGGAACCGCAATATTTTTAATCTTTTTGTTTTCTCAATCTTAATGGTTTTTTGTTAATTCATGATTTGTTAATAAGAATGGTTTTTGTTAAGACCGTTAAAACAGTTATTAATCTTTAATACGTTTATTTTTACACTTATTAAAACAATGTGCTTACCTCTATAATCACTGGGAAATAAAGCGAAGCTTGCTCCTCTTTGACCTGCTATGACTGTTTCTTATCAGTTATTTATGAGTTGTATATTTATTATGGAAAAACCATTGTCATGACTTTCTTCTGTTTAATTCGCTACAATAGTTCAAAGAAATTAATTTCAATGGAAATTCTTATTAACAAAGGATTAAGGAAATTAAATAAATAATGGATTCTAAATAGCTTTTAGCGTTTCAAAAGCATTCAATTAAAAAAATTGTCCTAAATTCTCTTGAAGTTTTCACTTAAAATAATCAATTGTTATTATAAACAAGCTTAGTAAATTAGAATGAAATTATATAAGGGGGATTCCCTAAACTGTTGAATTGCTGAATTGTTGAATTTTGGTCAGCTGTTAATCAGCTGTTCCATACAAAGTCAACTTTCAGAAATTTCAGCAATTCAACAGCCTCGGGGCTGTTGAAAATGTTGTTGAATTGCTGAAAAGCCAGAGTTGTCACCTTTTTTCAAAAGTCGTGGCAACTCTGTAACATTTTAGTATCACCAGTACGCATTATTTATTTTAAAATCAACTTAGAAAGCATATTTGTGGTTCTTTTTACCTTGGTAACACTTTTACACAGTAACTAGCAATAATAAATCAAATTTTACATGCTTTAAGTTCCGTGAAACTTTTCAACAAATAACAGCTGTTTGAAAATTCAACAGGAACCATTTTGGGTCGTTCCCTTAATTGCTGAAATTTTTTGTTGAATTTTCAACAATTCAGCAATTCAACAGTTTAGGGAATCCCCCTATAGAAATACATTCAGACCGTTAAAGAATTTGAGCTTCTGTTATGTTGGTTCTTTTTTTTCAAATTGTACTGGTTCCTTTTATTAACAATCTCTGCTAATAAACATTTCAGCCGCCTTAACAGTCTTACCGTTAGCACCACAAGCGCTTAGCAACACTATCGCAGTAGGGGGTGCGAAAAATAACGGGAGCAAAATGATATTGCGCTCTTGGGATCGGGTTAAGCCCCGATCCATGTCGGATTTTGCCTGTTTCCTCCTGGTGGCAATCTTTGTGCCCGTTACGTACATCTTCCAGGTGACCGTTGTGCTGCCGGAGCTGTTTGCCATCGGGGGCCTTTGGTACACGCTGCTCTGGGTGGCCAGCCTGTTCCTCATCTTTAACATCACCTCCAACATGCTGGCCTGCATGCTGGTGGACACTACCATTCGAAGTGGGTAAATAGCAGTTATATTGTGATTCCCGTACTAAGATTCCCATTGCAGTGGAGCTACTAAAGCCACCGGTGGATCCGGGAAAGCTGGCGCGGTGGCACATGTGCCACGATTGCCAGACGCTGGTTCCACCTCGCTCCTGGCACTGCGAAGTGTGCAACGTGTGCGTGCTGAAGCGGGACCACCACTGCCGGTTCACCTGCTGCTGCATCGGACACCACAACTACAGGTACTTCTTCTACTACCTGGTGTACATGATCGTCGGATCCCTGGCGGCCGCCATCATGGAGAGCGTATACCTGTGGCACCTCCACCCGGACATCTACTGGCGCTGGTCCACTCTGCTCACCATCTGCGGTCCCATCGTCAGCCTCTTGCTGTTTCCCAGCTGGGAGACCTTCTATGTGGTTATCTACGACCTCACCCTGCTGGGATTCGGCATATCCTCGCTGCTCCTGGTCTTCCACTGGTCGATAGTCAGGAGCGGTTCGGTGACGAGGGAGCGCGGCACCAGGAAGTTCGATCGCGGCCTGCGAGGCAACCTGGAAATGGTGCTCGGCAAGCGGATGCATCTCACCTGGCTGTCGCCATTTCTACGCAGCGAGCTGCCCCACGACGGGGTGAACTGGGAACCCATAGCCGCCTTTTCTCCGAAAGAGGAATAGTTCAAGATTGTGCCTTAACCATTGGCACTCACATTAGATTAGTAAAATATTAGTGGCATTTATATCGAAATACTAATCACAGCAATTGTATGGTAGCTATTTTGAAACCTTCTAGTCAATACCTGAAACTTAATATAGTATTTAAATTTCTTGTTCATATTGTAAACTCAATATTAGCCAATCACTTGTATTACTATAGATAGTTTGATTGCATATCTACAACATACAATTTATATCAAGTACAAAAGCATTTCATTAACCTAAAGCTTTACCATATTAACGTGTGTAATCTGTATTTAACTATTGGTTTTTATTGAACCAAAAAACTTGTTTTAAGTTTCATGATATTTTAACAATTTTCGTTAGATCAATTACAAAAGTATATTATTAACACAAGACTTTTTACTTTATTACTTATCGAGGAAACTTTCGCCCACCAGCGATTTCAGCTTGGACAGGTGTGTTTCGTTCAGGGTAAATCCTTCGTGGATGCGTTTGGCCAATGCCCGGGAATCTATGTTATTTTCAACGGCGTATTGCAGGGCAACCAGCGCCTGACTGGGTGACTTCTCCTGCACACTGGCCTCCACAAACTCTTGCAGAGCACTTTCCGCTGGTGTTCCGGGAATTCTGTGCTGGTTTTTGTCTATGTGGGCGAACACCTCTACCGCCTTTTCGTAGTTGCCACCACGAACGAGCAGCGTGAGGATATCTCCCAGCATTTGGCCGGTGAAGGAGACCTTCCGGAGGCGCCGAATGGAGTCCTCAATCTTCTCGTACATATCTAGGGCCACCTTGGCGCCCTGCTCAGGTAGCTGTTGCTGAGTAGGAGAATCCAGATTCGGCTTATTGTCCACCAAGATGCGGAGCACGCACAGCAGAAGGCTCTCGCGGTGCGTGTGATCAAACACCACCATATCCGACCAGATGCGAGGCACATGCTCCACACCGCCGTTGATCTCGATGGCTCTCAGGATCTCCTCCATGATTCCCGGCTCGGGGATGTAGATGTTGGGCACCAGCAGATCGTAGGTGAGCATAAAGTCATCGATCGATTCGGTTTGACAAAGGAGGGCCAAGTAATTGCGGTAGTAGATTGACTCCTTAAACGAGTCGCCTATCAAATCATAGTTCTTGCCCGTGTGCAGCAGCTCGTCCACCTTCTTGGCCAGCGATTTGTCGTGCAAATGATTGCGACACACGTCCATGGCGGTGGCAAAGAAGTACGTGTCCTGGGGATGCTGGATCTCGAACTCCTTGCCGGCGATATCGTTAAGAATGTCCACAATAACGTGCGACACTGGTCCCCTTTCGCGGCAGAAGATGATCAGGAGATAGTAGTAGGTGCCCAGGCTGGGACTCACGCCCAGTTGCTTGAATTCCGGCAGAACCTGGAGGGCAGCGGTGCGTGCCAGCTTAAAGTTGCCGAAGGTGCTGATGCACTGAAGCACCGCGTTAAGGGTGGCCAAATTGGGCCGCAGCTTCTGCTGCGACATCTCCTGCAGCAGCTCCGTGCAGAGCTGCCAACGCTGCTCGGCCGTGTCCTTTAGGAAGCTCACTATTTGAATAATCGAATTGAAGGTGTTCGTGTCCAGTTGGATTCGCTTCTCTCCGGCTTCCTGGAGCAAAGCATAGGCCCGCTCGCACTGCAAATACTTGGCCATGCCGCGGATGAGCGAGGCATACGATTGCGGCGTCTTTGGTTCGATTTCCGAGTACAGTTTCTCGGCCAGATCGCCATCCTTCCAGGTCTTGCCGGTGCGCTCGCGTCTCCGGTTGTTCTGCATGAACCAGCGCTCCTCGATGTACTCCTCCGGCAGCGGATCCTGATTGTTGTGGAAGCACACCAGCTCCAGAAGGCTCTGCTTAAGATCGGCGCTGATGGTAGTTCCTTTTTTCACTAGCAGGTCGTAGACCAGGACGGCATCCTTGAGCTCACCCTGGGCAATCAGTTGGCGCAAAGAGCTCTCCTCCACCTGGGAATCCTCGGTGTAGACCATGCTGGGTGCGAATTTCTCGATGGCTGGCTGGGCTTCTTGGTGCTGCGGGTTAGGAAATGGAATTAGATTGTGGCAAGGCAGCTACTGGCCACTCACCATGAACAGATCGCGGTGCTCCTCCTTGATCCACTTGGCCGCCTTGCGTCCCGACTCCTTGGACAGGGCATATGTGCGTTTCGCCGCATTGGACATGGGTATCAGGAATGGATCGTCATGGTATTTGTAGTGCGGCGCCGTGTGGTCCCTGCCCACGGTGGCGGCCAGCGCCTGGAGAAGATCGGTGGGCGAGCGCTCGATCCGATTGGGAATCTCAATGGGGGATTCCTCCGCCGGCGCCGCTGTTGTGTAATGTGCTCCGCTGGAACTCAAGCTGCGCGCGACATTCGCCCTGGGCAGCAATCTCAACTGGCGCGAGAGGTACATCTTTCAGCAGGTTGGACACAAATTAACCCGATTTTCAGTTATAAAACCAAAAAAATAAATGTTTTCTGGTTTTGAGTGGGGAAAATGCAGCTGCTTCTTCTTGCCCAGAAAGTGTGGCCGAACAGCTGTTCGTAACAGCGGGTTAACAGTGAGGTTAACATTTTCCGTTTTCCAACACCATTTCAGGGCTACAAAAAGGTAAGCGCTAGATTTGAAATGCTTATCTTATCTAATTATAATTTTATATTTACAAATGTAACATTTTAAGAACATAAATACAGTGCCGGTATTTCTTTAATTAAACTCTGATATACTAATTATTGTATTTCGTTACTTATTTGAATAGCTTCAGTTGTCTCAAGCCAGCAATTGCAATCCGATTTAGTTTATGATCGGCTTTCAAGGCGATCGTTTGTCGGTTTTTCTACCTGATCTTTTCCAGATGTCTCAACCCAAGCCGATTTTGTACTACGACGACCGCAGTCCGCCGGTGCGCAGTTGTCTTATGCTAATCAAATTGCTGGATATCGATGTAGAGCTACGGTTTGTGGATCTCTTCAAGGGCGAACAGTTCCATAAAGATTTCTTGTCGGTAAGTGAGGCAAATTAATTCGGGTTTCCCAGCTCAGTCTTAATAATAAATTTGTTTTCTTCTCATTTTTCAGTTAAATCCCCAGCACAGTGTTCCCACTTTGGAGCACGGTGATCTGGTGCTGACTGATAGCCATGCTATACTGATTCACCTGGCGGAAAAGTTCGACAAGGACGGAAGTTTGTGGCCCGTGGAGCATGAGCAACGTATGAAGGTCCTGAACCTCCTGCTCTTCGAGTGCTCCTTTCTGTTCCGTCGTGACAGTGATTTTATGGTGGGCTATTGACCAACTTTACTAATTAAATTTGTTAACAAATTTCCCCGTTTGCATTTCACAGTCGGCTATTGTCCGCCAGGGATTTGACCATGTCGATGTGGCACTTCATGAACGCAAACTGACCGAGGCGTATATCATCATGGAGCGCTACCTGGAAAATAGCGATTTCATGGCCGGGCGACAGGTAAAAGACAACCTCATCTGATTGCGATTTCCTGTCCTTGTGGCAGCTCAATTAAGTTTAGAATTTCACCTTTGTTTCTGCGGTTTCAGCTGACGCTCGCCGACTTATCCATCGTGACCACATTGAGCACCGTCAATCTCATGTTTCCCCTGTCGCAGTTCCCACGTCTGCGGCGCTGGTTCACCGCGATGCAGCAGCTGGATGCCTACGAGGCCAACTGCAGCGGATTGGAGAAGCTGCGTAGAACGATGGAGAGCGTCGGTAGCTTCCAGTTCCCCTCCTCATCTACATGCTCCAACGCCCCCGAGGAGGTGGAATAGCTCGGGATGGTTATTAAAATCCGTGTTTAATTTATCTTCGAGTCGGGTGAAATTTGGTATTTGCACTGCAGGTGAAGGGTTAACAGTGGGATCTCTATAATAAGAACCTAAACTTTCAAAATATTTATAAAATTAAGTTGACTTACTTCTGGTATAAATAAAACTCATTAAATCAAAAAAGATTATCAAAAAAATTAATAATTATTTAAGCAACATCTTGGAGCCAGATAATGTGCATATTCCGAATCCATTAAAATTACGAATCAAAAGTATATAAAGGGAAGAAAAAGTGCATAATATAGATCCATTAAAATTGCGATTCAAAGTGATTAAATGGAATCCAACAGATGTGTACATTTCAAGGCAAAACTGATGCATAAATATACAAATCAAAAGTCATAAGAGTTTACAATGTTTATTTGTATTTAAATTTTGTAAGAAATGAAATAATGCAAAAATGTATTAATTAAGTAAGTATATGATGATTTCACTTTTTATAAATTTTGAAAAGTGCTACGCGTTTTTGAGCTTTTAACCCTGTTTACAATCCCCCGGAATTCTGTGAACTTTGGGGGTGCAGGCTATAGACTTTCCACTGCAAATGGGTGTTTGCTTTGGTGAAAGGGAATACGTGTGTAATACTGCCAATTTCAAAGCAATTTAGCGGTTGGCCGCGACCCTTGAACCGGCTCATTAACATATACGCGTATGAACCCTGTTTGCTCCTGAAAATGTTGGCAAATATTTGACTGCTCCGGACGATGGTGCGCTAATGACAGCTTGTCAGGCCTAATAGCCGTATCGAGTGCCCTCCAGTTGATCGGGGTAATCCTCTTCGAGGACCAGCCGCTAATTGCTCCCCTCGAAGCTCGAGGAGGAGCCAGTAACCCGATGCGTTGGTCAGCCAACTCGAACAAAGTTTAACGCACGCATCACGCTACCCATCCTCAACCATCTTTACAGCTTGGAGACTACGTGCACCTGGTCTTTCATCGGATTTCTGCTCCTTTGGCCCGACTTCTCAGCTGCCAACTGTCGTGGAAAGTGCAGCTATTCCCAACGCTTTTCCGGCTGCCGCGGCATCTGAATCTTCCCGAGGCACGCGGCAAACTTTGCGCTCTGCAAGTTTTTCAATTTCGCCCGGCGTTGTCTCAACATTTATCTGCCCTTCACGTTGTCAGTGCTTGTACAGAGATTTTTTTGTCACGGTCCCTGGAACGTTTTAGCTTTCTGTCAACGGCCATCCAAAAGCGCATCCGGGGTGCCAGATACATAAAACTGAATTATTTTACTTAAGTTTCGCGGTACTCTTTTGCCGCAGAGATTAGCCACTTTGTCAAGGGATTTGCATCAATTTGAAATTTTACTTGGAGCCAAGAGTCGCAAATAAGCATTTGTATAAGGAAATCTGAATTCAATTAAATACCTTACGTTTTGAAAGAGAAATTTAAATAAATGATTTATTTATTCTCTTAGATTTAAAACGTTTAATTCAAGAACTTAAGAATTTTATTTTATTTTTCTAGAAATTATATTGAAATTATACGTTTTATTGGTATTGATATTAAATATTTTAAATCCTCTAAAGCCGCTTTGAGAATTTCGTAATATGTCTGAATAAAGCACGACGTTTTTCATCTTGAGAGCATTGAATGCGGCGACATTGTATATTCAGCATTTTTTCTAGCATTTTTTGTCTGTATTTGCATGTCGCTATGAATTCGATTAAAGGCCACGTTTCACCATACAGGCGACTTTATTTATGGGCAATTCCAGCGCCGGACGATGATGATGCAATGCCACCCACTGGGAAAGGCCTCAGCCTAGCGAAATCGAATTGATATTTAAAAGCAAATTGTACTGAACATACTGTGCGCAAAGGCAATTTAATTTAAATCATTATTATTGTTTTTATGATGCTAAAATAAATAATTAAAATTGAACGCGAAGGGACTTTTTAATCTGCATAAATTAGGCACAGTAAGCATAGAAAAAACAGAGAAGAGTACATGCAGATAACTTGTTATTCTTTTTGCCCAAAAACAGACAAAACAGACAATTTATTGTGTAGGATAGGATTTTGTTTTTAAGACTACCTATATATAATTAATGCATAATACATTTTTTTATACTGTCATGTCTTAAATATTTATTTATTTTATGTACCCATTTAGTTAAATATAAAAAACAAAGCCATTTAAATTAAAAACCACACAATAGCCTTCCTTCCGGAATAATTAAAAATAAATTATGGTTTGGTAAATATTTATTTCTGCTTACAAAATAGATATATCTGTTTTATGCACACACATACCACTATAGAGGGGTGGTCAAAAGTATTTTCACAAATGTTAATGTTAACTGTACTTATATTTTGAACTTATAATATAAACTTTTGGCACCTATAGAAAGAGCACTTCAATTCCGTTTAAATGACACAAAAATTTTCTTAACCCATTAAGACCCCTTTGAAAAGTGAGCAAATTTTGCGAAAGTCAAATTTTCAACTTTTTTCCTGGGGCTTAAAACAAAAATGTTTTGATGCAAAAAAAAATTTTCAAAATATTTTTCCTTATATTTTTTATGATTTTTTGAATGGAGACCTCTCAGTAAAATTTTGTATGAAAATTAAGAAAAAGCGGGAAAAATAGCTATTTTCAAAAAATCATAAAAAATACAAGGAAAAAATATTTTGAAATTTTTTTTTTTGCAGTTATTATTAATTATGATTGGGGAACAACTTTGCATCAAAACATTTTTGTTTTAAACCCAAGAGAACAAGTTGAAAATTTTCCTTTAAAAAAAAATTGTCTAATTTGCCCACTTTTCAAAGGGTGCTTAATGGGTTAAGAAAATTTTTGTGTCATTTAAACGGAATTGAAGTGCTCTTTCCATAGGTGCCAAAATGTTTATATTATAAGTTCAAAATATGAGTACAGTTAACATTGAAATTTGTGAAAATACTTTTGACTAGGGTTGTATGTCCTATATGCCCTATATGTTCACACATTTTCCGGTAATAGGAACCACCATAATTAGGCGCATAATGGCTTCAAATTAGCATAGCTGTTAAAAATTGGAACCCCTCCGTGAGGGAACCCTAATGCGGCACACATTGCCAGTTGCAAATCGAGTTACGGATGACAGACGACAACTTTTGTTCCAAACTTTTTTCCAGAACTCCTTGAGCCTAATGCTGTCGAAGAATACTTTGTGCAAATTGATTTAGTGAAAATGCTGCTTTGAAGTCCGCCCTCAGCGCCTGACAGTCAATTTGTCGAAATGGAAAGTTTTGCGATTCGGGGAAGAGGCTGAAACCTCATTACAGGGTCCTAGTAAGTAGCCTAGCAGCCAGCTTTAAAGTGTTAGCCAGGAAATTCAATTAGGCCTGGCCATTCCTGGCCAAGCCACACTGCCAATTCCCCATTCGGGCCATTCAGAGACCAGAAGTCGGCGGTGCGTGATGCTGAAATATTGGCAAAGTTTTCGCATTCGGCCATTTGGGACAAGCGATTTCGGGGTTTAGATCTTCGATTATTACTTGGGGCAATATTTGCTGATTTTATTTCGGGTCAGACATCTTGCCTTTTGCCACTGCTGACTTGGCCATAAACTGAAAAGCAGTCACAGTTGAATTATTGATTAAAAATGCTGGCTGCTCACTCGCCTTGCTCCTTATTTCGGCGCCCAACTAACCGCCCTCGCACATATAAATTTCTATTATATTATTTTCACCTTCCACGTTTCTTGGCCATCTGCTGAGGCAGACCTTTTTGTTGTGGTTAAGTGCTAGGCATCTTGGTTGCGGTCCTGCTGAATTTCTAATTAACCTTTTTTTGTGTTTTTCGGGGCGGAGGCTGGGCCACGCCCACACCGCCAGTATTATTTGTCTGAGGCTCTTGTCTCAAGATCTACCGAAGTTCGGGTTCGGGTTGAACGATAAGTATTGGGTGAAAGCCAAACAGAAAGCAAGAGAACAGACCAAACAAACATCTGACAACCAACAAACAAAAAAGTTCAAAAGATTTTGTATCGCAATAATTGCTGAAGCAAGTTTGGAATAAAAAATAAAGTTATACTCAAGTGGAATCAGAAATACTCTTTGAACTACAAAAAAGCTGTAGTAAAACGTTGGTATTATTGTGTATTTTTACATGTGTTTTATTTTAATTTTTGTTGCGATAATAACACATTCAACAATAAGATAACCATAATAACTTAACTATATCTCGAAATATAATATGGTATCAATATATTCTTTCTTAAAGCATGCTCTTTGGAATTGAAATCGTAATATTTATAAAAATAATAGAATATTCGTTATAACTTTTATGTATCTAAGAAAAAATACAAAATGACTATACCCCATTTGAAAAGAGTGTTTTGAAATAATGTAAGTCAATAAATAAATGCAAATTAATGCAAAGGTTAGAGAAAAGTCGCACCAAAGCTCTTTCCCCGTTTGTGTTTTGGTTTTATTCGGTTGAGTTATGGGGACCGCAATATTGGCAAAAGGTAAAAATTTTAAATATCTACGAATATTTGACTCAACATTGTGCGACCAATGTTTTTTCGACGACAATGTGAAAATGTGAAATTTATTTAATTGCTTTTGTCGCAAGGAGCGGGAAAATGTCTAGAGGAATTATGGGAAACTTATAAATAACTATTCTATGCCATGACCGCGGCGAATCGAGTGTTTATTTTTGTTGGCAAAATGACGACATTGGGCATGATTTTCCAATTAAATGTTGAGCTTAAATAAATAATGTGTCTATTCTTAGGCGGCCAACTCAACTGGCGATGGGGCACGAATTCAGTAGCTGTTCGAATCGATGCTGTTTGTATTTTGTTTTCCGTTTGTTTATAAATGAAATTGCAGTCTGCAAACCCAAAGGCTTGACTCAATTTCCGTTTCCGCCCAGCTTCACTGTAGGCCAGCGGAAGCGGCACAAATGCCAGCAAGTGGTTGCTGCCCCAAGGGCTGGATCCTTTCCCATTCCCATTCCGATTCCCTTCCCCAGCGTCCTAATTTTCGCTTGACTTCATTTCGGATATGCGTTGCCATTTTTGGGCCATTGTTGGCTGGCCATTTAAGGGCGCAGGCCTTGGCCTTTGTTGAGTTTTTATGCTGATTTATGGGAAAATAATCCCGGCTAACTTAGCGCCTGGAAATGGTTTCCCGCCAGGATGTTTGCACACTCGAATCTAATTTTCGTGGCCAAACACAACTATGCCGCATGTGTGTGCCGCATGTCCCATGTCCTGTGTGCAATTTGGCCAAAACGACGCCGCCTGATGAGGATGCATAAGGGTCCCAAGGGTCCGGGCTCCGGATAAACATTTAATCAGACGTTTGTTTGAATTGCAATCCAACTGGGCGACTAGGCGACTGAGCTTTCCAAGTCCTCGAGAGTGCCGTGCCGTAATTGAATTTGATTCTTTCACTTACAGCTACCAGTTTTTGCCCACCCCTCGGCGAATGCAATTACAATAATTTAATTGCCATGAAAAATGGACGCACATCTGCGGGGCATTAATTAAATTTTTCGGGAAGACAATAGTCAAAACCCCGCCTTGGGCAAATTTAATTCACTTAAATGGCAACAATTGCGGTTTACTTCAATCCGCCGAGTATTTGTTAATTACAAAAAAAAGAAGAAAATAAGACTGCGGTCCGTCGAAGTGCCGCTGGCCAAGGAGGCTGTAAAAATAAACGAACACGCCATCTGTTTTTTGGGGCCGAGAGAAAAACAAGAAAAGCCTGGAAAATCTCAACTATTTCGGTTCCACCTGTTCGGAATTGAGAATTTAGAAATAGTCGCGCTACCCACAGCGCAATTTCGTCGGGCCTTTTACGTGTGTGCCGGGGATTTTCCGAGTGTTATCGAAATTGTATCCGCTCTAGCAGAAGATTTTCCCCCCTCCCAAAATAGATGTCGCCGGCCGATTTGTTTGTTTGGTTTTTTCTCCGACATACTTTAATAAAATATTCATTTTTGTCGGGGGGCACGAACTCTGGCAGTTCCAAGACGCCTTGACTTGTCCTCTTCACTTTATTGCCCTCTCGTCGAAATTATGGAAGAATGTTTTGGCTGATGGCTGTACTCTAACAAAGTGCTTTTCAATAACACAAGGCGCATAATTCAAGTTAATTGTCTGGTCATAAAATAATCGCTGGCCTTGTGTTTTTCAATGCCTGTAAACGGTTCTCTCTTTTGCCGCGGGCCTGGTAATCTGATTTTATATGCATTAACAGATTATAATTGCAATTTATTGCTAATTTTATGGGTTAAATGCAGACGACGAGCTGGCAGGGCATTTATGAGAGTGTGCCGAAAATAATTTGTTTATTATTTCATTAACTTTATCATTATTTCACACAATACTTTGTCATTGGGAAGCCTTTAATTTTAAAACGATTAATTATAATTTGTTTATTGAAGTTATATCGTTAGGGTGCATTTTGTTATGCATTTAAAATATATATGGACATTTTATTAGTTTTTAGGAGAGATTTTATTCAAAATCTCTGTAAATTCTTACAGAGTAGTAATTTAATTGTTTATTTAAAAATTCCATTCTCAAAATATATTTTTATCATATTCAGATTTTTATTAAGAGGTGATATTAATTAGCATAACAAATTCAAAAATAATAATTTTAAGAGTTTCATTAAAATTAATTTCAAAACAAATATTTTGTAAATTAAAAGTTTACCAATTTTTTTTTAATTAGTCAGTATTTTGAAAATGCTCATAATTTGATGGTGTTTGATTAGCCCCGCATTTCAGAGCGACCTCTGGAGATGTGCCTCTCGATGGGAACCAAATTGCTGCCATTTTTAATTATGACCCAATGCATGCCGGTGGAAATTACGAGCAACGAATGCACGCGCCAGAAATGAGTGCAAAATGACAGCAGGACAGCAGCTTGCTGGTTTGGTCAAGTCCGAAAAAATGCGGCTAACATGCAAATGAGCAGCGCACTTTGAAGAGCACAACGCACACAGACACATTTCCATCGATTGGAAATGTGTGAAAATTATTAAGCATTCGTTGTTGCTGCTGCTTTGGATTTTTCCTTTTTCTCGGCCGATGATGATCTAAAATTATAACGCACGACTCATGCGAGGGAGGCGGGCAAAGTCGGCGCTTCGAATATATAAAACGCCCACGCCGCGCAATTTTCACACACTCGACTCCGAATTCGGATATATTTTTGGAAAATTCTTGAACGAATCCGTCGGAGAACGCTCTCTCGCGCTTTAAAAGCCGCATACGCCCCGTTGGCTGGCATCAGTGTTAGCTTGTCAGAGCTTTAGTGAAGATCCCACAGAACCCGAACCCAAAACCAACAAACCAACATGTCTCTTGAGCGTGCCGTTCGTGCCAAGGTGAATACTTGATCAGTGCAAAATAAGAAAAGAAATATCCTTAAAAAAGATCCACAAAAAAGTGATAAAATGTGAAAGTTAAGAAGGAATTTTTCCAAGATGTTGTGTCTAACTTTTTGTTGGTTTCTCCTTTGATCCACACAGATTGCCGGCAAGCGCAATCCCGAGATGGACAAGGAGGCCCAGGAGTGGATCGAGGCCATCATTGCCGAGAAGTTCCCCGCCGGCCAGTCCTACGAGGATGTGCTCAAGGACGGTCAGGTGCTGTGCAAGCTGATCAACGTGCTGTCGCCCAACGCTGTGGCCAAGGTCAACTCCTCGGGCGGCCAGTTCAAGTTCATGGAGAACATCAACAACTTCCAGAAAGCCCTGAAGGAGTACGGAGTGCCCGATATCGATGTCTTCCAGACCGTCGATCTGTATGAGAAGAAGGATATTGCCAATGTGACCAACACCATCTTCGCTTTGGGCCGTGCCGTAAGTTTGACATTATGTTATATTTCGTTATTTTTTCTAACTTTGGCATCTTGAACCCCTGCAGACCTACAAGCACGCCGACTTCAAGGGTCCCTTCCTGGGCCCCAAGCCCGCCGATGAGTGCAAGCGCGACTTCACCGACGAGCAGCTGAAGGCCGGCCAGACCATCGTGGGTCTGCAGGCCGGTTCCAACAAGGGAGCCACCCAGGCTGGCCAGAACCTCGGCGCCGGCCGCAAGATCCTGCTCGGCAAGTAAGATGTCGTCTGCCAGGATGCCGACCCTTTTCTACACATATGCTAAGTGACAACACACCCATATATTTTGTATGATGAAACATAAACACAAAGATATTCCTCTCACCAAAGCAAAACTCAACACCAAAAACACTCACACAAAACAACACACAAAAGCAACGCAAAGGCTTGTCGCCTTATATTAAGTATACGCCTAAGTTAATCTATTTATGAGTACAATAAAGTAATTCAAAAATCCCAGTTTTCGACTTTCCGATCACCTCTATAACCTTGAGCTCTCTACGTTCTTGCTGTTGCTTTTTTTGTGTGGGTGTAGAGACTTTATTTATCTGCCTATGGTGCTTTCTAAAAATGAATTTTATACGTACATATATGTATCCGATATATATATCATCGTATCAACGTTATAAACCAAACATAAACACACTCCGATGAGTGTGTGCGATGTGAAAAATTCCGCTGAAGCGTGTCGAGGTCAGAGCATCGGCGATGGGCAGAGTTAACATCAAGATGGGCATCTATACAATGTCTATATGTAAGGACAGGAATTCGCCCGAAGCGAATAGCGAAACTCACCTGTCCGAGGCGTAAAATTGTTCACTCTAAAAACACACAGGCAAGCATGTATTGCAGGTGCAACTATGATGGTGCCAAATAAATAAGGAAAGCCAGACAGCTCTTGAGAATTTTTACGCCTTCTGCTGGCACTTTTCTAATTTCTTAATTTATTATAGTCTGTCAGAGGATTCTACTATTGATGGCTAATTTCCCCTTATTCCCCTTCGATTCGAAGTACTTAAAAATAGGTCTCCAACGAAATATTTTTGAAAAATATATCAAGTTTTGAATTAATAATTTTTTAAAATTAAAATTCTTTGGCTTATTCAGTCCGTAAATGAATTACATCTTTCATTAGTTTTGGCTAATTGAAGCGTACTAAGTTCGTGTGTATTTTAAACGCAAAACAGTTCTCAAGAAAGATGATTAAGAACAAAGCGTGCCAAATTCCGAATTCCTATTTTTAGATTTTCAAATTTTCCAACAATTGGTTGCTTGAAATATTAATGAGAACAACCAAACGATATTTCTCCTTGGTTTCTTTCGGTTCAACATATAGTAGGAATAAATAAAAACAGGCAAATAAATAACAAACTTGACACTGAAAATGTGGGGGAAATATATATTTTTATAATGGTTCATTAAGAGATTTTCTGTACCGATTCAGGGTTATTATTGATGCATGAGTTTATGAGTAGGAAGTCTTAGATTTTTCCTCTTAACCAATTAAACCTGTTGTTTATAGTATTAAGGAATGACAAATTCTGAATTATGCTTGTAGAAAACTGTATTTGGATGAAAAGCATTAGGAACCTTATGGGAATATTAGACTCTTCGTTGATCGCTCCTCGATTACCATGGCATCGATTCGATTTGTAATGGATTTCAGGGTTTCCCTTAGACTGGAGACACTTTCCTGCTTTTCCCGAAGGTAATCCACCGTTCGATCGAAGTCGTACATCAAAGCGGGCATTGCCAGGAGGCCGCCCTGGTAGGTCAACTCTTGCATCTGCCCCCTTATCTTTTTGTGCTCCACTTTCGCCCGACAGAGCTGAATCTTCAGTCTATGTTTAATCTCATTCTTCTCTAGCAGCTCATCCTCTAGCTTATGCAGCTTGTTCTTAAGTGCCAGGGACTTTTCTCGAGCATGCTTAGTCAAATGCAGGTCCGTGTGGTATTGGGTGCGCTGCTTTTTCAGATCAAGGTTTCGTTCTGAGTGGGGGTTACAAAAATTAATATATTGATGGTAAGAATATTCCAAGATCCTTACCTTCAATCTTTTTTTCTAATGCATACACTTTGGTTTGGACATTCATAAAGTCTTTCATGCTCACGCCATCGCACACTGTCTCTATATCTTTTATTTTCTAAGGAAATAGTTTATTAAGTATTACATCCAGGAAATCGAAATAAATAAGCTGAACTATGGAAGAAATACCCAAAGAAACTAACGGACAATACTTTGAAAGGACTTAAGGTGAAAGAGGTAGAAAAAAATGAAAGTCAAAATTACGGAGAAAGTGAATGAATAAGATTTAAACAGTGTGTAAATATGCATTCTATGGAAATTTACGGACAAGCATTACAAATAATTTGACGAACAAAATTGCGGATAAGATGGCGGACAAGTTGGCGGAAAAGATGGCGGACGAGATGGCGAACAAGATGGCGGACAAGATGGCGTACAAGGTGTCCGACAAGAAGGCGGACAAGATGGCGGACAAGTTAGCGGAAAAGATGACGAACAAGTTGGCGGACAAAATGGCGGACGAGATGGTGAACAAGATGGCGGACATGATGGCGGACAAGATGGCGGACAAGGTGTCCGACAAGAAGGCGGACAAGATAGCGGACAAGTTGGCGGAAAAGATGACGAACAAGTTGGCGGACAAAATGGCGGTTACCTACCTCTGTGATGCGGCTTAATGTGTGTTTATTTGAGATGAGCAACAGCCGGGTATCACTAATTCTGTTCCGGTGCTCCGCCATCAGTCGCAGCTCGCGGGCCACAAACCGCTTGAGGAAGTCGGTCTCGGCGTCCGGTCGCGCCAGGAGGCGTCGAATCGTCTGCTCCAGATGCTCCTCCGTGCTGACAGCGATGTGCATGGCATGCGAGAGGTCCAACAACGCCGCGGACATTAGAAAACTACATTTGTTCTTGACCTTGGAGAGGCGCTCTTGGGCATAGGACAAATAAGACAGGGCGTGCTCATGACGAATGGCATAGTTGACCTCGTCGGTCAGGGAAAGTGTGTCGAAGGGACGCTTGTTCTTGATGCGGCGATAGTACTCGATCATACGATCCTCGAGCATTGTGTGAATATCCTTAGTAATGAGGTGATCGTGCACGTCACTCTGGAGGGCGGCAAGTAGCTTCTCCTTGTCCAGTCGACACCGGATATATTCATCGGTGCCCGGCCGCTCTGCCATGACCACACTCTTTATTAATTGGTTCAGGAATCCGCGAACCACCTGTTGCGTCTCTATGAACCTAAGTTCGGCTGCCACGTCGATTGCGGATGATTCGGGTTTTGCCGCACTGGTTGGGAAAAAGCTTTCGAAATCCATGTATTGTTGGGAGTCTTTATCGGTAGTTTCTGTTATTGGGACGTCCTCAATAATCTCCATGGACGACTCTTGCAGCGACTCCGAGTCGCCGAATAGATCGTCCACGACAGAGCGGGTGTCGCTGTGAGTTTTGCTGGATTCCCTTTCCGCGGCTTCGGAACCGAGGCTCTCGGTATCATCGGCTAGGGGATCTATAAAATTTGAAGGCTTCTCTGATTTTAGAGACCTGCGTGTTTTCCGCTGGACAACCGGCTCGCTTGACAGCGATATATCAGAGATACTGGGCACCAGCATCAGCGATTTGACCGCCATCTGCAAGGGATTGATGCTTTTGGTTCGCTGGATCCTTGGATCTTCTGACTCCGATTCCGAGGAAGATTCGATTGGTTCGGGCAAGTCGACTTCTTCGTCAGCATCAGCTGCGACCAAAGTAGTGGCGAAAGAGACCAAATCCGAGTTTCGGGAGGTTCTTACCGTGTCACTGGCGATATCATCATCGAGCTTGGTCCATAACAATTGCTCATCCTGCTCCTCCTTTTCAACTCTGGACTGGCGCCTTTGAATGCTGGCCAGCGACTTTTTACTTATTTCTTCTTTTATCAGATTCAGCTCCTCTTCCCTTTCTCTTTTTCTCGCCTCCTCCTCCATCTCCTCGGCTTCACGCTTCTTTAACCGATCCATGACTTCCTTCAACATCAACCTCTTTTCCTCCTTTTTCATTTCTTTCATCACCATCTCACTGGTCCTCGAAATGGTGGAAACTCTTTTGAAAGGCACTGAAATGGACTCTTTACTATCTTCTGGCGAAATTTCGACAACGTCTTCAGCTACAACTAGTACTGCGTCTTCAGTATCATTTTCCTCCAACATTTCGTTTTGAGGTTCTTCACTTGGTTCCGTTTCCATTTTATATATTTCAGTTATTTTTTACAAAATATAATTTGTACTCTGTTTAGTCTTGCACTTGAAGGAGGTGGTTTTATCTTTATTTCTTGTGTTTTTTATGACTGTTTTATATGCCTTTGCGATTTTTTTATGTTTTTTAGTGTTTCTGTTTTGAGTTGTTGTGTACTCGTGTACATCTGTTTTCTGATTGTGACATAGATTTCGTGTTTGACAGCCTTTTCAGGGACCATTATGTTTTCTTAAGAAACCTAACCTTTAAAGTTGCAAGGATGCTTGGGGCGTGATTTGTTTAATAATCCCGAAAACTCGAGTTAAGAGATATGGAAATTTCTCCGTTATGTTGTATTTATTCTGTTAAAATATTATATTCTAAAATGATACCCATCCCATTAAAGCTTTTGTGATAAATCTTAGTGTTTATTGGAATCGTCAGATGGGAAAAGATGGTTTCTAAAGACTTCTTCCTTCCACTAAATCGACGCGACGTTGAAGTGCCTTCATGGTCTCCCTAAGCTTGGCCACAGACTCCTGCTTCTCCTTTAGTCGCTCCATGGTTTTGTCATAGTCGTACATCAGCGAAGGCATCGCCAGGATGCCGCCCTGGAAGGTCAGCTCCCTGGACTGCTGGCGCATCTTGGTGCGCTCTAGTTTCACGTCGTAGAGTCGTTTACGCAGGACGCGCTGCTTGTCGATGGCATTCTTCAACAAGGTCTTCCGCACCTCAAACTTTTCCCCCAGTGCCAGGGCCTTCTCCCGATTGTGTCGGGTGAGATGAACGTCCATGAGGAATTGCGTTCGCAACCTCTTTAGGTCAAAATTGCGTTCTGGGGAAAGAAGAAACACGATCTTTAGTTTTTTAAAAATGGGATACCTAGTGCTTACCTTCAATTTTCTTCTGCAAAGCCAACACTTCATTTTGCGCGGATATATAGTCTCTGACGTTCACGGTTTCACTTAATGTGTCCAGTTCTTTGATTTTCTAGTTGGGGTAAGAAAAAAGTTAGTCGTTTAGGACCAGGTTTCATTAAAAATTTCACTGAGCTGCTAAAGAATTCGCGCAACTAAAATTAAATAGATCATGTTTTAAATTCGATAAAAAATTTAAAAATTTCTTTGCTTTTGAACATTTTTTAATCTTTACTACACTTACATCCATTATGTGAGCCAAGGTGTGTTTCCTGGTAATCAGGAAGAGTCTGCTGTCACTAATCTCGTTCCGTTTGGCGGACATAAGCCTGAGTTCGCGATCGACAATGCGTCGCAGATAATCGGAATCCGATCGAACCAGGTACTTGTGGAACAGGTGCTCCAGTCGCTCCTCCGTGATCGAGGCGACGCTCTGGGCGGAGTGCAGATCCAGCATCACCCTGTTCATCTGGACGGCGTGCTTGTGCTTGGCCACATCCAACCGTTCCTTCAGACTGTCGAGCAGCGACAGTGCGTGAAAGTACCGGGCCTGGTATCGTTTTTCATTATCCGCCGTAAGGACGACAAACACTCGAGTGTTGCGATTGCGTTTGTAATATTCGACCAGCCGGTTGGACATCATATCATTGGTGTACTTCTCGATCATATAAGTATGGATGACTCTTTGCAGCTCGACTAAGAGCTTTGACTTGTCGAATTTCGCCCGAAGCACGCTCTCCTCGTTTTGATAGTCCGACCTGTAGGCAGCCTCCTCGATGAGATCGCGAAGTAAGTCGTGAACCACCCTATTAAGCGCACGGGCATACGCTACGGATGAATCCTCTTTATCCTCGAGCTCTACGAAACCCACCTTTGTTAGGGCGTTAAATTCGTCCATGGTAACGGACTTTTGCGTGGGAGCAGCGGTGTCTGGAAGTTCCGCGAATTCGGGTATGTCGGACATAACGGAGGAGTCGTCCTGACTGTCAGGCGCCACGCCATCATCCTGCTGCTCGTTGTCCAAGTCCCCAAGCGATTCGGATACCGAGCTGGAACTGGAGCTCGGACTCGCCGCAGGATCCACGAAGTGGCCCTGATCCCGGTAGACGCTAATCGTGGACTTGGCCCCCGATAGGCGGTCGGTCAGTTCGTGCTCCTCCGATATGTCCGACAGACTGGGCACATCGAAATCCCTCAGAAAGTTGGTCTTCAACTGGACGGAATCGGGATCTGCCGGCTTCAGCGTTCTTACCGATGCCATGCTAATGGCCGCCATACTCATTGCATCATCCGAATCGTCATACTTGGGATCCTTGTCGAAAATACTTCTATTATCGGCTTCATTTGAGAAGCCATACACGGGAAAGAGGTCCACCATTTTGCGGGCTCGGAATTTCGTGAATATGTCTTCTTCTGAGTCATCACTTGGCTGGATTGACTCCGATTCCAGTTCATCGTCGAAGGGTTCATCGAAGTTCACCAGGACCTCCTGCTTCTCCTCCTCTTCCTCCCCTTTATCGACAATCTCTTCGGGGGAAAACGCTGTGAAACTAACTGTGGGCTCATGGACTTCCAAAAGCGTAAAACGATTACTGGCCAAGTCCTTCAAACGCTCCCTACGCTCCTTTTTGAGTTTCTTCTTTTTCTCTTCTGGCGAAAGATCATCGGTGGGCTCCGTTGGCTCCACGTCCAGGCCAAAAGATTCGTTGGATAGGTGTTCGGTGATTTCTGTCTCTGGGGCCTCCTCCGTCGCCTCCAGTAAGGCAGTTTGATAAGACTCCTCCTGTACAACGGGTTCCCCGGCTATTGGTTGGATTTCCTCCTCCAACTTTGGGATCTCTTCGGGTACAACCGTTGACTCTGGAGCATTGTTAACTTCCAACTGGTCTGTTGTTTCCTTTGGGGCCTCGGCTACTTGCACGACTTCCTCCGTGGACTCGGGGTCTTGAGGCATTGTGGGTATTATGGTGTAATTGTTAATTATTTTTTATGTTTTTTTTAATTTTTAAGTTTTTTTAATAGTATTTTATGTATTTTTTAAGTGTTGTCTTGTGTATAGTGTTTTTGGAGTTCTTTGTAGTTGTGACAGTAAACTCAAAAAAACAAATGAATAACATCAAAAATGTTATTGATTCGTGTTATTAAATTTAACTATATTAAAAAGTTAAAATACTTAAAATACTTCTCTAATATTTACGTTTAATAGAACCTTTAAATTTCTAAATACTTAACGTCAAGAAAAAGAGTGGTATACTTTTAGGCTTAAAATAATAAGTTGCACATATATATATTCATGTTCCAAATAGGGATATACAAATGTATGAAGAAAAAACTTAAAATTCGTTAAACTATACCAGCGGTCGGCACGCACATACGTTGACATTTTGTTTTATATTTGTGTGAGTAATTTGCACTGGGCAGCTCATCGATGTGTGTGTGCAGACCGCTGTTCTACGTTATACGTGTGCGAGCAGCGCGCCGGCAGAACAAAACCCTATGCTCACTTAATAGGGCGCTGCCGACCGCTGAACTATACTAATGAATTCATTGTTTAATTTTGTATGTTTTGGTTACAATGGTTTTCTGTCCTTGCCCTTGACTTTAAAATGCAACTTAATAGCCAAACTTTACTGTAAATTAAAGTGAAACTCCTCGCTGTTCAGCACCATCTGGGGTCCAATTGGAGGTCCTAAGTAAATCTTGCGACGGCTTTAAAGTTGATTGATCGTTGGCCATTGTGTGCGTGTGCTCTCTCTTTTTTTGTATTTTGTACGAGTGCGGTAAACTTTATGACATTGATAAATTTTTAATAAATATGACAAAATGTCGGTGCTTTAATTCACTTCATCCCGCGGCTCGCTTTTGGGCAGCACCAGGTGCCGGGCGATTTACATAAAAGTGCTGCAGTGCTGGAGAGTGTAATTTGCATAGGAAGCACTGCAGCACTTGGAATGGATTTCGGGTCTTAATACTTTCCGTTTGATTGTCTTGGCGTGGAAATTGATTCAGCAAAATGCCAAATTGCTTTAAATTATGCATGAGCCTGCGACTCTGCCATTCTCCCCTCCCCTCCCTCCGGTTGCCTTTGATGTTCGGAGGACATCTGGGAATCATATTCAATAAGCCGGATCCGACGGAGCAGGCGAAATAACTTTTTTATGACAGACTCAAAGGGCCAATCCCCTTTGATGGCTGTTAAATAAATTTGTTTTCGATGCCGCTTAAGCCGTTGCCGCGCCTCCAGGTGAATAATAGGCAGGTTCCTAATGGACTTTTAATAGTCGGGTAAACACCGGCGACACAATAATTGCCCCTTGGACATTGGACATTCGTCAGCGGGCACATGTGGCTTCCTGGTGCGCCTATTTCCCAGTCGGCTCACGTCCTCAACGAAAGCGGGGGCAATCCTTTTGCTATTTATCATTCCGTCCGAATTTTTCCCGTAATCCTTTTCTTTTTTTCGCTCTTCTGTTTGTCTGCATTAAGTGGCATTTTCGGCTTAGGCGTCTACAGTATCTGACGGATACTTAGGAGAACTCTTGAACTTGACTTTCCCTCCCCACAGCGCTCCAATTACGACAGCACGTTGCGTCCGACGAAATTGTAATTTACGAGTGTTTTTATACACAGCGAAAGAAACATAAACCTGTGTGCTGCGAAAACTGATGCCACTTTAAATAAATGTTTTAAAGAAAGTGTACTTATATTTAATCGCTCGCTAGAATACAAAGTCATTTTAAACTACAAAAGAATTACCAGTTTATTATTTCAGTGCAATTTACAATATTTTAAAAACAAGTTTACTTTAATCTTAAATTTTTTGCTAAATAGACAGTTTTGTGTGCTATTTTTAATCTGTAAATAAATAAAAACATGTTTGCTGAAATATTAATTAGCTGATAAAGCATTTCATTTATATAAGGCAGATTATAACTGGAAACAGTTCTGGGTGTAGCTGTGAGTCATTGCAAACCCACAAATATGTATAAATAGTACCTAAATAAAACGTTAACACAAGTATAGTATTAGGTAGTAGTATAGTATTATGAACCACATGATTTCAAAATCTACACTGAATTTTATTTTCAAATATTCAGTGTTATAGTAGTGAGTATGAAGATATGGATCTAATGCCAAACTTAAAAGGACATAAGTTAATGGTAAAAGATTTAGCACCAAAAGCCTTAAGCTTACCACAAATAAATGTATGTAAATGTCATGTATAAATTTTTTTTACTGTGTGCACTTTATTTGCATATTTGTGCCTCTGTTTTCAGAGAGCGTCAATAATTACAAATTGCGCGTCGGGGTTGATCTCCGGTGATCCGTGGGCTTATCAGTCTGATTTCGCCAGCTTTGCTTTGGCAGCTCGATAGTGCATCGCATCCGAAAGCCTCTCAATTTGTTGACATGAATTATGCAAGTCCAGTCTGGAATGCTTGACTCGCAAACGGCACGAACTCGGAAATTGCGCAGTGCCGCGGAAGCTGAGAGAGAGTGTTATGAGCAATCTAACATACAACCCTAGTCAAAAGTATTTTCTCAAATTTGAATGTTAACTGTACTCATATTTTGAACTTATAATATAAACATTTTGGCACCTATGGAAAGGGCACTTCAATTCCGTTTAAATGACACAAAAATTGTCTTAACCCATTAAGCACCCTTTGAAAAGTGAGCAAATTAGACAATTTTTTTTGAAAATAAAATTTTCAACTTTTTCCTGGGGCTTAAAACAAAAATGTTTTGATGCAAAGTTGTTCCCCAATCAAAATTAATAATAACTGCAAAAAAAAAAATTTCAAAATATTTTTCCTTGTATTTTTTATGATTTTTTGAAAATAGCTATTTTTGCCGCTTTTTCTTCCTTTTCATACAAAATTTTACTGAGAGGTCTCCATTCAAAAAATCATAAAAAATACAAGGAAAAATATTTTGAAACATTTTTTTTGCAGGTCTTATTAATTTTGATTGGGGAACAAGTTTGCATCAAAACATTTTTGTTTTAAGCCCCAGGAAAAAAGTCGAAAATTTGACTTTCGCAAAATTTGCTCACTTTTCAAAGGGGTCTTAATGGGTTAAGAACATTTTTGTGTCATTTAAACGGAATTGAAGTGCTCTTTCTAAAGGTGCCAAAAGTTTATATTATTAGTTCAAAATATAAGTACAGTTAACATTTACATTTGTGAAAATACTTTTGACCACCCCTGTATATGTATGAATACATAAAAATTTCGTTTGATTGGAAGCTTTAATTACATTTGCGCCCGTAATCACAAAATCGCATTATGGACGGTGACGATCTTTTTGAGGTTTCTTGCTAAATCTTTGCCATCGCTCGAATTCAGTTTGAAAAAGTCAGTCTAGGCGCAAAGTGTACCTAGCGGATCAAAGGATATTTTAACATTTTAAGGATACAAAAAAGGCTAAATCAATGCAGGGATCAGTGTTGCTGCTGCTTACCTTCGCCGTTCTGCTCTGCGCCGCAGTGGCTCTGCCCACAAGTCTGTCCAAATCCGAGGAGGATTTGCTGGAACAGATGCTGGCGGAAAGCGTGGAGAGCGGCGAACTGCAGGACCTGGACGAAAGCACCGGCAATCACATCGTCAAGCGATCTGCCAAGGATTCCAGCTCCTCCGAGGAGGATAAGAATGGGGCCAAGGGAAAGCTAAAGGACAAGGCAAACAGCTCAGCGAGTTCCTCATCCGAGGAGAAGACAACAACGGGAAATGCTGTCCATGAGGGAGAAACTACAACCGAGAACTCCGCTCGGAGACGCCGGGAAATTGCAACAAATGACGAAAAGGATCAAGGAAATCAAAAAACCAGCGAGGAGTCGCCATTGGATGTACAACGGGTTCCCCGGCTATTGGTTGGATTTCCTCCTCCAACTTTGGGATCTCTTCGGGTACAACCGTTGACTCTGGAGCATTGTTAACTTCCAACTGGTCTGTTGTTTCCTTTGGGGCCTCGGCTACTTGCACGACTTCCTTCGTGGACTCGGGGTCTTGAGGCATTGTGGGTATTATAGTGTAATTGTTTATTATTTTTTATGTTTTTTTTTAATTTTTAAGTTTTTTTAATAGTATTTTATGTATTTTTTAAGTGGGGTCTTGTGTATTGTGTTTTTGGAGTTCTTTGTAGTTGTGACAGTAAACTCAAAAAAACTAATGAATAATATCAAAATTGTTATTACTTCGTTTTATTAAATTTAACTATATCAAAAACTTAAAATACTTAAAATACTTCTCTAATATTTACGTTTAATAGAACCTTTAAATTTCTAAATACTTAACGTCAAGAAAAAGAGTGGCATACTTTTAGGCTTAAAGTAATAAGTAGCACATATATATATTCATGTTCCAAATAGGGATATACAAATGTATGAAGAAAAAACTTAAAATTCGTTAAACTATACCAGCGGTCGGCACGCACATACGTTGACATTTTGTTTTATATTTGTGTGAGTAATTTGCACTGGGCAGCTCATCGATGTGTGTGTGCAGACCGCTGTTCTACGTTATACGTGTGCGAGCAGCGCGCCGGCAGAACAAAACCCTATGCTCACTTAATAGGGCGCTGCCGACCGCTGAACTATACTAATGAATTCATTGTTTAATTTTTTATATTTTGGTTACAATGGTTTTCTGTCCTTGCCGTTGCCTTTAAAATGCAACTTAATAGCCAAACTTTGCTGTAAATTAAAGTGAAACTCCTCGTTGTTCAGCACCATCTGGGGTCCAATTGGAGGTCCTAAGTAAATCTTGCGACGGCTTTAAAGTTGATTGATCGTTGGCCATTGTGTGCGTGTGCTCTCTCTTTTTTTATTTTGTACGAGTGCGGTAAACTTTATGACATTGATAAATTTTTAATAAATATGACAAAATGTCGGTGCTTTAATTCACTTCATTCCGCCGCTCTCTTTTGGGCAGCACCAGGTGCCGGGCGATTTACATAAAAGTGCTGCAGTGCTGGAGAGTGTAATTTGCATAGGAAGCACTGCAGCACTTGGAATGGATTTCGGGTCTTAATACTTTTCGTTTGATTGTCTTGGCGTGGAAATTGATTCAGCAAAATGCCAAATTGCTTTAAATTATGCATGAGCCTGCGACTCTGCCATTCTCCCCTCCCTCCGGTTGCCTTTGATGTTCGGAGGACATCTGGGAATCATATTCAATAAGCCGGATCCGACGGAGCAGGCGAAATAACTTTTTTATGACAGACTCAGAGGGCCAATCCCCTTTGATGGCTGTTAAATAAATTTGTTTTCGATGCCGCTTAAGCCGTTGCCGCGCCTCCAGGTGAATAATAGGCAGGTTCCTAATGGACTTTTAATAGTCGGGTAAACACCGGCGACACAATAATTGCCCCTTGGACATTGGACATTCGTCAGCGGGCACATGTGGCTTCCTGGTGCGCCTATTTCCCAGTCGGCTCACGTCCTCAACGAAAGCGGGGGCAATCCTTTTGCTATTTATCATTCCGTCCGAATTTTTCCCGTAATCCTTTTCTTTTTTTCGCTCTTCTGTTTGTCTGCATTAAGTGGCATTTTCGGCTTAGGCGTCTACAGTATCTGACGGATACTTAGGAGAACTCTTGAACTTGACTTTCCCTCCCCACAGCGCTCCAATTACGACAGCACGTTGCGTCCGACGAAATTGTAATTTACGAGTGTTTTTATACACAGCGAAAGAAACATAAACCTGTGTGCTGCGAAAACTGATGCCACTTTAAATAAATGTTTTAAAGAAAGTGTACTTATATTTAATCGCTCGCTAGAATACAAAGTCATTTTAAACTACAAAAGAATTACCAGTTTAGTATTTCAGTGGATCTAACAAAATTTTAAAAACATGTTTACCTAAATTTTCTATTTTTTGCTAAATAGACAATTTTGTGTGTTATTTTTAATCATTAAATAAATAAAAACATGTTTGCTGAAATATTAATTAGCTGATAAAGCATTTCATTTATATAAGGCAGATTATAACTGGAAAACACGTCTGGGTGTAGCTGTGAGTCATTGCAAACACACAATATGTATAAGTAGTACCTAAGTAGTACCACAAGTATAGTATTAGGTATAGTATAGTATTATGAACCACATGATTTCAAAATCTACACTGAATTTTATTTTCAAATATTCAGTGTTATAGTAGTGAGTATGAAGATATGGATCTAATGCCAAACTTAAAAGACATAAGTTAATGGTAAAAGATTTAGCACCAAAAGCCTTAAGCTTACCACAAATAAATGTATGTAAATGTAATGTATAAATTTTTTTTACTGTGTGCACTTTATTTGCATATTTGTGCCTCTGTTTTCAGAGAGCGTCAATAATTACAAATTGCGCGTCGGGGTTGATCTCCGGTGATCCGTGGGCTTATCAGTCTGATTTCGCCAGCTTTGCTTTGGCAGCTCGATAGTGCATCGCATCCGAAAGCCTCTCAATTTGTTGACATGAATTATGCAAGTCCAGTCTGGAATGCTTGACTCGCAAACGGCACGAACTCGGAAATTGCGCAGTGCCGCGGAAGCTGAGAGAGAGTGTTATGAGCAATCTAACATACAACCCTAGTCAAAAGTATTTTCTCAAATTTGAATGTTAACTGTACTCATATTTTGAACTTATAATATAAACATTTTGGCACCTATGGAAAGGGCACTTCAATTCCGTTTAAATGACACAAAAATTGTCTTAACCCATTAAGCACCCTTTGAAAAGTGAGCAAATTAGACAATTTTTTTGAAAATAAAATTTTCAACTTTTTCCTGGGGCTTAAAACAAAAATGTTTTGATGCAAAGTTGTTCCCCAATCAAAATTAATAATAACTGCAAAAAAAAAATTTCAAAATATTTTTCCTTGTATTTTTTATGATTTTTTGAAAATAGCTATTTTTGCCGCTTTTTCTTCCTTTTCATACAAAATTTTACTGAGAGGTCTCCATTCAAAAAATCATAAAAAATACAAGGAAAAATATTTTGAAACATTTTTTTTTGCAGGTCTTATTAATTTTGATTGGGGAACAAGTTTGCATCAAAACATTTTTGTTTTAAGCCCCAGGAAAAAAGTCGAAAATTTGACTTTCGCAAAATTTGCTCACTTTTCAAAGGGGTCTTAATGGGTTAAGAACATTTTTGTGTCATTTAAACGGAATTGAAGTGCTCTTTCTAAAGGTGCCAAAAGTTTATATTATTAGTTCAAAATATAAGTACAGTTAACATTTACATTTGTGAAAATACTTTTGACCACCCCTGTATATGTATGAATACATAAAAATTTCGTTTGATTGGAAGCTTTAATTACATTTGCGCCCGTAATCACAAAATCGCATTATGGACGGTGACGATCTTTTTGAGGTTTCTTGCTAAATCTTTGCCATCGCTCGAATTCAGTTTGAAAAAGTCAGTCTAGGCGCAAAGTGTACCTAGGGATCTCAGGAGATTTTACCATTTCAAGGATACAAAAAAGGCTTAATCAATGCAGAGATCCGTGTTGCTGCTGGTTACTTTCGCCGTCCTGCTCTGCGCCGCAGTGGCTCTGCCCACAAGTCTGTCCAAATCCGAGGAGGATTTGCTGGAACAGATGCTGGCGGAAAGCGTGGAGAGCGGCGAACTGCAGGACCTGGACGAAAGCACCGGCAATCACATCGTCAAGCGATCTGCCAAGGATTCCAGCTCCTCCGAGGAGGATAAGAATGGGGCCAAGGGAAAGCTAAAGGACAAGGCAAACAGCTCAGCGAGTTCCTCATCCGAGGAGAAGACAACAACGGGAAATGCTGTCCATGAGGGAGAAACTACAACCGAGAACTCCGCTCGGAGACGCCGGGAAATTGCAACAAATGACGAAAAGGATCAAGGAAATCAAAAAACCAGCGAGGAGTCGCCATTGGATGCCCAGGCCGAGAAGGAGCTGGACGAGGAAATGGCACGGGCTGAAGCGGAGATTCTTAAGATCGTAGACGGAAAGGATAATACTAGCATCGAGGACTACGCCCAGGGATGTGAAGTCATGGAGGTTAGCTCCAAAGAGGCCAACGAGGCCACCTACGCAGAATAATTCTTCTTAATGACTTTAAATAAACATATACAAAACTAAAATACATTTGATTTGTTCTTTTCTTATTGATTTCTACCCATTTAAGGCTTTAAAGAGAAGGCTAAACTATTTTGAATCCAAACTTGAGTAATCCAAAACTGAGTAATCAAGAAAAATTATATGCAAGATTTTAAATCTTTAATTTCTTAGTTGTATATGATTTTTTCCCTTATCTGCGGTTATATATGTACATTTTTCATATGTATAAATATATAGCCGTTTATACTAAGATTTTAGGGAAAGGCAGGGCGATTATAAAATGTGGAGGTTTTCTCATTAGAAGCAGTTCGAAAAAAACGCCGTTGGGAAAGGATCTCTCGTCAAATATTCCATTTAGTTCAAAAATGAATCGATCAATTTTATTGCTCCTAATCTCAGTACTTGTGCTGAGTGCTGCAGTTGCTCTGCCACGGCCTCCTGAGGAATCGCGAAACAATCTCGTGGATGAGACGAACAAGGATTGGCATTGCTCTTTATGCACGGAACTGCATAAGCGGCATGGTGATAAACAAGATTTAAAGGAACTCTGCCAGATGGCATGTATTTAATTTGTGCAATAAATTACAGATGTATAAAAATTACATAAAAATGTTTTCGATAAAATATATATTAAGTGGTAAATTTAACTTGAAAAAAATTCAGCATTACGTGTCATTTTAAAGGGTGGAAGACCGGCTGTTTCAATATACTTGCATTATACAGAACCTTGTTTGTTGTCCAGTATCTGCCAGACTCAATTAAATTTGACTCAATAATCACATAATCGCCGAGGAGGCGATAGTGAATTTGTTGAGGTTTCTCGGGTAGCGTGTGCAAGTTGTCAGAATCAGTTCGAAAAAATCAGTCTAAGTGAACGCAACACCCAGGTGAAACTAGTAAAAAGGAGTTTACCAGGATACGCCAAGGATTTTAGCAATGCTCCGATCTGTACTACTGCTCTTAATTGCAGCCCTTGTGCTGAGTGCGGCAATTGCTGTGCCCACAAGTCGGCTGGAAACGGAGGAGTTGGAAGCCGATGAGCACTCGCAACTGCTCTCCAACGAGGATCTGGGGAGCAGCAATGAAAAAAGTGCTCACATGACAGCTGCCAAAGTCGGTAGCAGTTCTTCGGAGGAGTTTAAGGACAGTGCCGATGCCGAGGACGATGTTACAGAAAATATTGACAGCTCCGTTGAATCTTCTTCAGGGGAGGAGCAGAAACCTGAGAATGCAGCCGAGGTAGATGGATCTGGGGCCATCGCTGTCAGAAGGCGTAGATCAGATGAAAGGTATAGGAACCTTAACCTACTTGCCACCATTTGTCCACAGGCTGATACAAGCAGTTTGGAAGAGGGCAGTAGCTTAGATCAACGTATTGAAATTAAAGATATGTATGCGATTTGTGCATCCTTACCAAAGACCGGCTGACGAGTATTATGAACATAAATAAAGTCAAATAAAATTCCAAACACTTCCAACTTGTGAAATTTCATTCCCTTCTTTACTGACTTAACCCTGACCCATTAGTCATCTGCGGCGCTATCAGTTTTACCATCCTTATCAAGACAGCCTCGTCAATGTCGTCGAAGCTCAAGCCAAAAATGACAGTTCGATGTTTGTTTACGCTTAAGACTCTTTGATTTACTACATTTGAAAATGCTTATATTTTATGTGCATATTTTATATTTTAAAATATCTTTTAATTAAAAAATTGTCTTAAATTAAATTTAGTGTTTAACAATACTAGTCGTAACAAGGTTACAATTAGTTGTTAATTGTTTCAATATTTTACTTTGAAACATCGATATCCTACTTTTCTTACTTATTATTTTTCTTTTTTAGAAACAAGAATTATCACCTACCGAACCAGAAACGCATGTACCCAGAATTTTTTGCACTTTTATGAACAGCCTTCATTGTGACTCGTGTCATCTGCATTTTTAGCTCGTTCCGACTTTTGGATATTGAAAAGTTTTCTCGCAATTTTGGCTGCCGGCTTTATCCCTTTGTCTGTCTTGTGGCTGTCACCATTTGTTGTTGTGCTTGTGGGTGATAAGGCACGTTTTGCTCGCTCTTTTATGACCAGGCCAACAAATTTTGTGTGAACTATTCCTTGAACACACTACATGCATACCGACATATGTACGTATGCAGTATTTCCTGGGCTAATCGAATTTTTTCATCAGGTGTGTGTGTGACTTGATGTGGGCTTTTCTCTTGAAATTTTTTTCACATGGATTTCTGGTTTTCCATTCTTGTTTATTTGACAAGCAGAATATTTTGCTTGTGAGCTTGGCACGTTCAAGTTGTTTACTTGGCTTTAATACTTAGTCGTTGACATGCACTGAATGAAGTCGAGAGTGAATATATAAAACGCAAAGGCTTTAATAAATATATGTATATGGGTAATTAGTTACGTTTATTTAGAAATCGATTTTTGTCTACGTTGCGGACTATCTTTTTTGTAATTATTATAATAATCCAACCATGATTTATTCTTAAAATACCTACTGCCTTTAATAAATCCATATTTATTGATTTCTATTCTTATAACTTATAAAATTTGTGTCTAATCCAAAAAATTTTTGGACTGCTTGTTTAAAATATGTTTTTTACCTAAAAGCCGATGTCTACTTATAAGTTTTTAAGTAAGTACCCTCTGATTTCGTAAAGAACTTTACTAAATGTAACATCTGTTATTTTCTTTCACAATTCCCATAGCAAACTTCATGAACTTTAATGATTTATTACTTGAAATGTTATGCCGAGCTTTCAACGTGACTTTAATTTGTAGTTGTGCAAAGTATAATTACTTAATAGCAGTGGTAGTCAACAAAAAAGCACATGTTTCCACTATTAATTCCATACTTATTTGTATACTTAGGTCTTTTATGTTTAAAGAAGCTTTAAATCATAAGGAAAAAAACTATTCCGCTTGGCGAAAATGAAACAAAAAGAATGCAACAGTTTTGCGGCACCACATTATCTAAAAAAAGGAAAAACTTGCCAAGAGGAGGAGAAGAAAAACGTGAGAGAAAACGAGGAAAATGGAAAAGATGCAGCCACAAAGGAAAACTTCTCGAAAATTATTTTAGTTGCCCAAGTCGACTGCAGTCGTGTAGAAGTGAGAGAGAAGCCGAAAAAAATAAAGAAATAAAAAACAAGCAGGCAGCAAAGGCAAAAGAAAGTGATAAATACACTTTCCATAATTATCAATCATTGTTGTGGTCTTGGCTATTCTTCAATTTTCGAAGTTTCCCTAGTTTTCAGCACTTTGCAGACCAAGATTTAATGAGATTCGGATTGTGCAATGCGTGCCTGCTGATTATATAAGTCGCACAATTGGCCAAAGTTCAAGTATTCAAGTAGGTCTTTCGGTTGAACAGTAAGTTGGCAAGTAAGCGAAATTCAGGTTGTGTTGAAAAGCCGGCAAAATTCAAATAATATTTTTGCACGGGCGGAATTTTGACAGGCGAACGCAAACAAGCAATCGGGAAGGCAACAACTACTATAGCGAAAAGAGCAACTAAAAGTTTCGCAGGAAAAGAGCAATAGAAAGTGGAAAATAGAAAGGCAAGAGTGCCGCCGGCAAGAGTGCGAATTTATAAATAAAACCAGCGGATAGGAAGAGATCCGGCGACTCTTCGGTATAAAGCGAAAAGAGTACGGGTAAACAAATAACAATGCCGGAGCCACTGGGACTTCTCTTTTCGGTGCCGGAGACAAAGGCGAAGGCGCCCATTATCAAGGTGTCCTGCGGCATCGGCGACACGGACGGCTATCCTGCCTTCGATGTCGACTCCGAGGCGTATGCTACCAAGGACGACAGCAGGTGGGGATTCCTCATCACCGGCGGAGCGGAGTTCCACATGCCGCTGACAGTCTTCCAGGTGAGTTTGGGTTACGGTTACCGTTCAGATTGCCATCGGGGCTGCGATTGGAATCCGCTAAAGGGTGGTGGCTGCTTGAGAACGGAAACATCTGCTCCCAGTCAAACAATTTTGTTGATACAGTCAAACTTCAAATAAAAGCGTATTTATTCGTCTTGAATATTTTAGAAAATATCAAATACCTACAATGTACAATTATAATTATTTGTATTGAAAACGTAGGAATACTTTTCAAATATTGCATTTGTTAAGACAATTTACAATATTATAAATAAATAAAATAAAAAATATAATGACTATTATAATTATTATTATTACATTATTTTAGCATTCAAACGTGATTATGTTATGATCAATTAAAAGGTTACCTAATTAAATAAAGAAGTTTTTAGTAAATGCACGAGTTATTCCCAGTTTAGAATATAAATTCGTTACACCTAACTACTGTAATTCAATTCTTTTATTAACATATTAAAAAAAACAAAAATTAAAAAATAAGAGTTTATGACAATTTTTTCAATTAATTTTTTTTATATGGAAAGCAATATAAATTTGTTTGTTACAGAACTTTAATTACTAAAGTGCAAATATAAAATGTACTTTTATATGAGTTTCAATTACAGAAGTTATACCGTACCACCTCCCTCGCTGCATTTGAGGTTTCGTCATTGTTTCCAATTTTTGGTTGCGGGCCAGAACAACAAAAACAACAACAAACCCAACCCACGTCAAATTTGAATTCCAATTATGCTATGACGAAGTCGCATCGAATGCAAATTGGCTGCCGCCATATAGAAGCGAACATTTTATTGTTTCTGGCATCTGCACCTGCCGCGCCCCGTCTTCTTTCCTTAGTATTCAGTCTTTAAGTCTTTTCTAGCTTTTTAGTTGTCGTGTCTCGTCTCCCCCAGTGGCTCTTTTGGGCTCACTTGAGTCTCAAGTGAATGTACAATATTTGGGTTAGCCGAGTTCCACTTCTTCTTCATATATAAATGCATACGGTGGGTGTCATAAGAGATATACGTAAAATATACATAACAAATTAAAAAAAAATTAAGGCAATTGTTACTAATTGGAAATAAAGATCATAAGTAAAGATTTTACTTTTTTTAATAGACTTTAACTTTTAAACATGAAACGCACTGTACCGTATATGTATGCAAAGTGATTTCCCATAAGGCAAAACTATTAGCATTGCTTTTGTGCAACATTTTACTTTTGACGTTTCGCGTTTAGTCTAAAAGAAAAATATAAGTTGTTGTTCTGTTTGTTTTTGAATTCAAATCATTTTGAGGGCAATGAATAGTGGGTTTGATGAACTGAGTGCTGGGAATGTTACTAAGGGGATACAAATATGTAACAAAATATCTTCACGGGACAATTTAAATTAAAATTAATGGATTTTATTAATTTACAGTTCAACTCACTTTCTTCGTTTACATTGAATTGTTGAAATTTTAACTAATACTTAAAATTAAATTAATTTATTACCTTAAATATTTTTTGATTTCTAATGTTTAATATATGTATTTTTAATAGATTTTCTTTCGAGGGTACAAACCAAGTTGAGTCTGACCCATTCAAAAACGCCGCATTGTGTCTGTTTTGCTTTCAGTTTTTATCGTTTTTCATTATTTCGGGTCTTTTCTTTTGGGAGCAGCCGTTCAGTCAGCTCATCTCGTATACATGTCATCTGTATCTGTCGTTTGCCCATCGCGTATATTTTCTGAACCTAAAACTCAAAGTACGCAGATATCCATTCAATTGCGCCTCGAAACTCGCACCGTGCGGTTTTTGCGGCTCTTTGATCTGCGTGCGGAAAGTGAAAGGACCTGACGGGGTTTCGGCATCGCTGCGCTCTCGATTTCATTCGACATCCCTTGCTCCTTGCAGGTGACCCCCAACGGCCTGGCCGACAAAGCGGGCGTTCGCCTGGGCGACATCATACTTCAGATTAACGAGGAGGACGCCTCGCAGCTGACACTGTCCCAGGCCCACGAGAAAATCAACTCGACGCCCAAGAAGATACATTTCCTGCTGCGCAAGTAGGTTGCCCCAGATGCACTTGGCTCGCTCGCCGAGTGTCTGGGCGGCTTTTAGGCCGTTTAACTTATGTAATGAGCAAACTTCTGACTGCCGTCCATTCCCCGCAGCATGGAGGAGGACGATCCCATGGGCCAGTTCGAGGCCGGAGAGGAGAAGTCGATTGTGATGCGGGTTCCGAAGCCTTTGCCGCCGCCGAGTGGTGAGTACTTAAGGCAGCATGGTGTTAACTCTACTTGCATGGTTCCCCAGAACCCTCTATTCCCATCCGTGATTACTCAGAAAAATCAGAAAAAAGTTATAAATACGGTAGATATTAAAATAAGATTTATTTAAAGTTCACAGTCCTGGTAATTGTTTTTTATAGGTTTCTTCTTTAAGAACAAAAGTTTAGAAGGTTATATTTAACTTAACCCTAACTAAACTAACAGTTATATTAATGCGCAATGATTTATTTAACCATCAACAGTTCCCATTAGACTCGAAATGTAAACTCGATTTTTGATCCCATGTTTCTCTGTGTAACCCCGACTCACTTG